CAGGGTTTCTCTGTGTAGCTTTGCGCCTTTCCTGGATCTCACTTTGGAGACCAGGCTGGCCTCGAACTCACAGAGATCCGCCTGGCTCTGCCTCCCGAGTGCTAGGATTAAAGGCGTGCGCCACCACCACCCAGCCACTATGGTTAGTTAGTCCTCTGTGGTTAACTAGTTAAGCTAGCTCTGTCCTCTGATCTCCAGGCAAGCTTTATTTCTCAGAATACGAACAAAACATCACACAACAGGTTAAGGCGGGAGAGTAGCAGCAGCACGGACCTTGGTGGAGGGAGGTGTTATCGTAAGGTTATAAACTGTACCAACAGTGAAGAATTTGGCTTAGGAAGAGAGGGGGAGTGGCTGCTTGAGCAGAGCAGCAGCTGGTGGCCACAGAGTGCCGAGTGCTTGGATGGGGACTTGAGTGGCTAGTGGCGTCAGGGAAAGAATTGGCAATAGTCACCAAGAATTCAGAATTGGGCTTTTTGGAGCCTTTCCTTTGTTTGGAAACTCTCTGAGAGGGCAGGGTTTGGAGAGAGAGGGAGAAAGAGAGAGAGAGGGGGCGGGGGGGGGGGAATGGGGTTTCCAGGACCATGCAGGGGCAAGCTGGAGGCTCCAACCCGACATGTTCATCAGGCTAGACTTAGTTGGTATCTGTACTTTGGTCTGTCATGGGTTTTAAAAATATTTCTTTAAATGCAAAATAGAGAGAGAAGGTAAGACGCTGACATTTTTAAAGAAGCTTTTCGGTTAACTGCTGAGCTAGGGACCCCTCTTCCAGAAGCAGTAGCCTTAAAGGATATTCTAGGGTGTCAAAATATGGAGTTGGAAGAGAGAGCTTCGCAAGTGGAGACCTTGGCTTGAACAGTACACCAGAGAGACAGCCAGGAATCCAGTTTAGAGGAAAATAGGAAGAGTCTGTGGAAAAAAGGCACAAGACCTCAAATGCAGCCACTCAGAGGCAGACCTTGGAGATCAAGCTGTATTTAATTAGAGACAGTCAGAAAACACTGAGCCAGAAGCCATGGGACTAATACAACCTATTATTCTATACCTATAATTTTCATTAAAATCTTTATCAATAAGCTTAATAAATGAACAAATATTTGAAATTGGCTAGTTCAGACCCCATCAGCTTTTTTTTTTTTTTTCATTTTTTGATTGTTGTTTGTTTTTGTTAGTAATGGGGCTTGAAGCAAGGGCCTTACACATGCTAGGTAAGTACTGTATCATGAGCTACATCAGCCTTTGTTTGTTTTGTTTTTCAAGACAGGGTTTCTCTGGGTAGTCCTGGCTGTCCTGGAACTCGATATGTAGACTAGCCTGGCCTCAAATTCACAGAGATACACCTGCTTCTGCCTCCCAAGTACTGAGATTAAAGGCATGTGCCACCACCTGGCTACATCAGCCTTTTATTTCTTCCTTCCTTTTCTTTTCTTTCTGTTTCTTTTTCTTTTTTTTTACTTTGAAACAGAGTCTTACCAACTTTCTTAGACTGGCCGTGACCTCACCCTGTATCTTCTAGAGAGGCCTTGAACTTGATTCATTCTTCAGTTGATGGGTATCTAGGTTGTTTCCAGGTTCTGGCTATTACGAATAATACTGCTATGAACATAGGTGAACATGTATCTTTGTGGTATGATTGAGGCTTTCTTGGGTATATGCCCAAGAGTGGCATGGCTGGGTCTTGAGTTAGATTGATTCCCAAATTTCTGAGAAACTGCCATACTGAACTTGAGATCTCCTGCCTCTGCCTCTCATGTACATGGAATGACAGACTTGAACCCATGCCCTCCTTCAGGTAATATTTCATCTGCTGTTTATGAATATCAAAATTAAACTACAGGGGCTGGAGAAATGGTTCAGTGGTTAAGGGCCATGGCTGTTCTTCCAGAGGTCCTGAGTTCAATTCCCAGCAACCAAATGGTGGCTCACAACCATCTGTAATGATATCTGGTGTTCTCTTATGGGGTACAGGCAGAACACTGTGTACATAATAAATAAACCTTTAAAAAAACTAAGCTAGCCAGCCAGTGGTGGCACATGCCTTTAATCCCAGCACTGGGGAGGCAGAAGCAGGTGGATCTCTGTGAGTTCGAGGCCAGCCTGATCTACAGAGTGAGTCCCAGGACAGGCTCCAAAGCTACACAGAAAAAACCTTGTCTGGAAAAAACCTAAATAAATAAATAAATAAACAAATAAATAGATAAAAATAAAAACCCGGAGCCTGATATTGGGGTAAATTCTGAAAGATCAGAGAGACAAAGGAACAAGCCACTGCCACAACTCACCTCCCCAACTCCCCGAATCCTCTGACCGAAATCCTCTTAGTCCTCACCCGAAAGGCTGCAGCCCAAAAAGACTCTAGCTGAAAGGGATGCTTCTGTGGAAAAGCCTTTAGTTCCTGTCTCCTCCTGCCTTATATACCTTTCTCTGCCCAGCCATCACTTCCTGTCTCAACCTTCCTAATGCTGTGATTAAAGATGTGTGACTTCCAAATACTGGGATTAAAGGTGTGTGCCACCACTGCCTGCCTTCTATGTTTAATCTAGTGGCTTGTTCTGTTCTCTGATCTTCAGGCAAATTTTATTAGGGTACACACTATATCACCACAAGTTCCCAAAGCACTTTGGATAAAATCTGAATCTTTACCATTCATGATCTTTATATTCACTGTGTACTCCTATCAGACAAGAGAAAAATAATTGGCTTCAAAATAATGCAAAGTCAGAAGTGACAAGTGGCGTTGGCAAGATGCCTGGCTGGTAATGCACGTGCTGCCAAGCCTGATGACCTGTGTTTCACCCCAAGAACCCACATGATAGAAAAGGAGAAGCAGGCCCAGGACATGGTGGCACAGGCCTTTGATCCCAGCACTCAGGAGGCAGAGGCAGGTGGATCTCTGTGAGTTTGAGGCCAGCCTGGTCTACAGAGCAAGTCCCAGGACTTACAGAACTGTTACACAGATGTCTTAGGATTTCTACTGCTGTGAAGAGACACCATGACCATGGCAACTCTTATAAAGGAAAATATTTAATTGGGGTCACTCACAATTCAGAGGTTCAGTCCATTATCATCATGGTGGGACATGGGTGCATGCAGACAGACATGGTGCTGGACGGATAGCTGCTACATGTTGATATGTAGGCAACAGGAAGTACACTGAGACACTGGGTGGTATCTTGAGCATATAAGAGATCTCAAAGCCTGCCTCTACAGTGACACACTTCCTCCAACAAGACCACACCTACTCCAATAAGGCCACACCTCCTAATAGTGCCACTCCCTTTGGGTTTATGAGGGCCAGTTACATTCAAACTACCACAACAGAGAAACCCTGCCTGGAGGAAGGCAGAGGGGGGTGGGGGGGGGAGAGAGAGAGAGAGAGAGAGAGGAAGAGAGAGTGAATAAAAAAAATCATGGTCAAATCAACCCAGATTTGTTTGTGGCACAGTCTCATGTAGCCCAGACTGGTCTTGAATTTACTAAATAGCCAAAGATGGCCTTGAACTTTTGATTTTCCTGTCTCCTCCTCCTCAGTGCTGGGATTTCAGATGTGTACTGCCACTACACCCAACTTTAATCCTGAATTTTAAGTCACAGTTTGGGGTGTGTGTGTGTGTGTGTGTGTGTGTGTGTGTGTGTGTGTGTGTGCGCGCGCGCGCACATGCACATGTGTGCATATTTTGTTTATACATTACTTTTTTGTTTATACAAAACTTTTGTTGGCTTTAATATGAAGCTGATCCCTCCCAAATAGGAGACTCTTTTCAATAGTACTATCTTCCGTCAGCCTGTCTCCTAACTGGTGCCTTCTCCATTACTTCTCAAATTCAATATCACCCTCCTCAAAGAGACCTTTATAGTCCAGTCCATCTACACTAGCTCCTCCTCCAACACACGTCAGGCTCTGTTGCCTTATTTCCTCTGTAACCCTGTGGGTGCCATTTGTAGCTACTTTGTTGGGTACTGTGATAGCTTTTAATTAACTCCCTTGAGCAGGAAACACATGTATCATTTTCTAAGGCCTCCTGGACAGCTGCCTCACTGTAGGCTTCCACGGACACTGAATCAATGCCCACATGTGATGCATGCCTATAATCCCAGTATTCTAAATGGCTAGTCAGAGGTTCAGGCTAGCCTTGTCAAAAAGAGAAAGGAAGGAAGGAAGGAAGGAGGGAGGGAGGGAGGGGAGGGAGGGAGGGAGGGAGGGAGGGAGGGAGGAAAGGAAGGAAGAAAAAAAGAGAGAGAGAAAGCCACAGGATCTGTAACTAAGTGAGAACTTAACATTGGGGGGTCGGGGTCAGGGAGGTTGACACAGGCTCTCAGGTAGCCCAGGCTGGGTCAGTCCTCTTGTCTCCATCTTCTCTGTGTAGGGATAATAGGGATGTGCCATCAACACCTGGCATCCAACAACGTTTGAAGAAAGCTCGTGTGACATACCCTGTTAACTTGAGAGCAGAGGGAATCGAAAACTGCCTAAAACCGAGTATAAAGAACAAAATAGGGGGCGGGCGGCGGTGGTGCAAACCTTGGGAGGCAGAGGCAGGAGGATCTCTGTGAGTTCGAGGCCAGCCTGGCCTACAGAGCAGGTTCCAGGACAGCCAGGCTACACAGAGAAACCCTGTCTGGGAAGAGAGAGAGAGAGAGAGAGAACTAAGTGGAGCGGTAGGCATGTGACTCTCCCAAGTCTGAACTCTTCTGTCACACACCTTCACGCCTCCCTGACCACAATGGTCCACCACAACTTGGTGCTTAAAATGGTGGTGGCGCGGCTAGCGCGTCAAGCGCCTCACTCGGACTACTACTCCAGAGGGAGAGGGCACTACGGGAGCCTCTTCGCGAAGGGGCGTGGCCTCCTGGGGGGTTTTCCCGGGGAGGGGTGGAGTTTTCATGAGGGAAGGCAGAGGAGCCCCGGCTTCTGGCTCTCCGCCAGGGGGCGGAGCCTCCTCCCGCGGGGGCTCCTGGGGAGGGCTCCGAGTATCGTGAGGAGAGAGGGCCGACGAGCCGGGGCTGCCTGCCATTCCTGAGGGGGCTGAGGAGCCTCCTCCCGCGGGGGCTGCTGGGAGGGCTCCGAGTGTCCGTGAGGGGCGGGCCGAGGAGCCCAAGCGGCTTGGTATTCCTGAGGGGGCGGAGCCTCCTCCCGCGGGGGCTCCTGGGAGAATTCTAAAATCGACTTGAGGCGCGGGGGGCGCCCGAGAGCCGAGGACGCCGCTCCGGAGCGGGGCGGAGCGGAGCAGCCGAGCAGGAGGCTGCTGTCGTCTCTGGCGGGAAAAGCCTGAGGAGATTTCCTCTTTTAAGTGTTGTGCGATCTGAGGATGGGAGGTCGAGACGACTAAGTCCCACTGTCCTGTGATACTGTAGCCGGAAAACTGTCGAAATCTGTGGTAAAAAGTGTTTTCTCTCCCCCCCCCGCCCCCGCCCCCGCCGCCGCCCCGGTCCTTTCTTGTGGCGGTAATGCCGTGGTTTTCAGCACCTCCGGGTTGATTTCCGCGTTGGCCCATTTCTTCCACGGGCCCCTCATGACCTCCGTAGGGACGTTTAGGGCTGGCACCGGAACGTTACGCCAAATCCCGCTGTTTTGCTGGTGTTTTCTCCCCTCCTCCGGAAGGGGACGGAGGGGCAGGGACGACGTCCAGGCCCGAGACCCTCCCACCATGGTGGGTGGGACGAGCTGGCCCGGTCTCCAGCTCGGCCGAAGGCTGAGGGAGGCAGGAGGTTCCCGGGTTCGACGCCAGCAGTCCCCAAGGGAAAAACTATCTTACTGCCATGTGGGTTTGGGAGCGAAGAGGAAACCGGGAAGGGTTTGGTGGGCAGCGTTAGTAGTTTCAGAAAAGCCTGCCCTCCTCCACCTCTAAACTAGGTCTGGGGGAGGAACATACGAGATTGAAGGTTTGCGGGTTGTTTGTTTTTCGAGAAAGTGTTTCTCTGTGGAGCCCTGGCTGCCCTGAGACTCACTGTGTAGACCAGGCTGGCCTCGAACTCGGAGATCCGCCTGCCTCTGCCTCCTGAGTGCTGGGATTAAAGACATGAGCCACTACTGCCTGGTTGAGACTTAAGTTTTCAAATCACTGGGGCCAGTTATTTTTAGTCCTTCAGAGATTTAAATTAAAATTTATATATACACGTATGTCTGCACCCTTAGTGGATGATAAAGACCCTTGCGGGGAGGTGGTCAATGAGTGTTTGAAGGGTCCACAAACCCCACCCTAGCCTTACTAGGGTAGAAGTTCCTGGAAGAAGAGGCACAAATCAGAAACTAGGTCAAATTTATATTTTATTATAGTGAAAATACTTTAAAATTCTGTTAAAAGTTAAAAATTAATCTGGGCAGTGGTGACACACGTCTTTCATCCCAGCACTCGGGAGGCAGAGGCAGGTGGATCTCTGTTTGAGGCTGGTCTGGTCTACAGAGTAAAATCGAGGTAAGCTGGGGCTACCTAGAGAAACTCTGTCTCGAAAAACAAAACAAACCAAAAAGTTAAATTTAAAAACAACTTTGTTGATTAATTCAGTCAGAATTCTTCCCCTTGGAATTTCATGAAGATGCTAAAATACATATTCTTGTAGAAAAACATGTATTGGCATATAATTAAATTGTAATAAGATTACAATATAGTATGAATACTTACCTTTAAAAAATAAATACATAAATTGTTAAATTTTCATTTTCACAATAATATAAACACCAAATGCAGTCTTTCATTTAGCTATATTTTATAAGCATTGGACATATTGTGTGTCTTTAGTTATTATTTCTACAATTACTAATTTAAATTTTCACTGAATGTGAAGCAAAATATAGTTATAGTCCTTTTGTTGTTGTTCTGTTTTTTTGAGACAGGATTTCTCTTCGAAGCTCTGGCTGTCCTGGAACTGGCTCTGTAGACCAGGCTGGCCTCAAACTCAGAGACACTCCTCTGCCTCTGCCTCCCAAGTGCTGGGATTAAAGGAGAGTGCCACCACTGCCCGTTTTGCTGTTCTAGTCTTCATGGAGGTTCAGATAATGTTTTTAACTGAGAAGTAAAGTTCTTTGTTGTGTTTTCAAAGGTGTAACTACTTTGACTTGATGTAAACTGAGATTTAACATTACAAGATAGTAAGTATGGGTGTGGTTCTTAGTTGTTTGTATAGAAGGGAGAAACTATATTTTGTTCAATATGGTGACTCTTTGACAGAATGTCTCAGTTGTTGCTTCAGGCTCCTTCAGAGGACTTAAATTGGAGTTATACACATATTTACCAAACAATTTTCTAACTAGAACAATGGAATGACACAAAAGCGCTGTATGATGCTTACTTTGCCTTTAAAGTGTTTTTTTTTTTTTTTTTTTGGTTTTTCGAGACAGGGTTTCTCTGTGTAGCTTTGCGCCTTTTCCTGGAACTCACTTGGTAGCCCAGGCTGGCCTCGAACTCACAGAGATCCGCCTGGCTCTGCCTCCTGAGTGCTGGGATTAAAGGCGTGCGCCACCACCGCCCGGCTATTAAATCTTTTACCACTTTCCTATTTTGCTTTTTTCTTTTCTTAGAATATGTTTCATCCATCTACATGTTTCGTTTCTTTCTTTTTTTGTTTGTTTTTCACACGGTCTCAACAACCCTGCCTGGCCTTGAATTTGTGATCCTTTAGCTTCCGCCTCTGGAATTACAAACATATGCCCCCACACCTAGTTTTAAATGCTTATTTTCTTACCAAAAGTCTTATTCTACCTAAAAATAGATAGGATGCCAAAAGATGTTAAGGATTTAAGAAGTTTTTCAAATAATGCTGAGATGGATAAGTAGACTCCTGATGGGTGTACCATAATTGCACAACATAGTAAATATTTTGTAATGTGGAAAGACAGGTGTTGCCCATCAAAGTGTGCACCTTAGGCTGGGACTGTATCTCACTTGGTGGAGTGTTTATCTGGCATGCCTGAGGCCCAGGGTTTGATCAGCAACACAAGAAGGAAAAGGAACAGAAAGTGTGACTCCTAACTTAAAAAGAAACAACTTCATTGCCTTAATTTTTTTCTGTGTCTTGTGCTTTATTTTTCTAACCAGGATAAATCCATGGGATAAGAAAAGATGGCGTCCAGAGTAAATACCAGTTTCACTTTGATACCCAACCAGAAATGTAAACAACGTACTAACCATCAACCCAGCTATTTTTGCAACACCCCAGATTTAGATCCTCAACTCTTATCTACGCTTGGAAATTTTAAAGTCTTACCATTGGAAATATTCCACATAATTTTAAGATATTTGTCAGGTGAGGTTTGGGGGATAGAAGTATGTTATTTAAGATATTAGAATATTATAATTTTCCCCAAGTATTAGTTTGTTCTCTTTATTCAGCTATGTTAGTACCATTCAGGAATGTTGATAACATTCATGAAGACTTTATTTTCTTTCTTTCTTTTTTTTTCATAATTTATTTAACTTTATTTTTTGTGCATTGAGAGTGTCAGGTCCCCTGGAACTAGAGTTACAGACAGTTGTGAGCTGCCATGTGGGTGCTGGGAATTGAACCCAGGTCACCCAGAAGAACAGCCAGTGATCTTAATCTCTGAGCCATTTCTACAGCCCAAGTTTATTTTCTAAGGGTCCTCCAACCACTTCTCTGTATTTTAGCTAAGATTGAGTGTAAAGTTCCATTCTTGCTCCCTCTCCTCTGTCTCTTTTTTCAACAGAATAGTTTACTTAGGAGACTACAAAACCCAGCTGGCTTGGCATTACCATGAGGACTGCCCACAATAATGTTCAAATTTTGTAAAGAAATTGTAGGCAGGATACAGCACACACCTATAATTTCAGCACCAAGGATGCTAAGGCAAGATCACAAATATCAGGCAAGCCTGGGCTACATAACAAGATCCTGTCAAAAAAACAAAAACAAACAAAGAAAAATCTTGCTGGGCATGGTGGTGCATGCCTTAAATCCCAGCACTTGGGAGGCAAAAACAAGAGTATCTCTTTGACTTCCAGGCTAACCTGGTCTACATAGCAAGCTTCAGGACAGACAAGACTGCATTGAGTGATCCAGCCTCAAAAAAAAAAAAAAAAAAAAAAAAATCAACAGCCAGCAGGTAGTGCACACACTTAAATCAAGCACTTAAAGGCAGAGGCAAGCCTGGTATACAGAGCGAGTTCCAGGGCTACACAGACCCTGTTTCAAGAAAAGACAACAAAACAACAAAATCCACCAAAACCCAGAACAACTACTACCACCTCTAAATTATCTGAATAGTAATAATATGGTAGCTTGATTGTTATTTCCCACCATGTTTCTATTGAGAACTAGATTTAAGACAGTATTAAGATCTTTTTAAGCACTAGGTTTGTTTATTGTTTTTGTTTTTTGAAACAGGCTTTCACTCATAGCCCAGGCTGTCCTAGAACTTACTCTGGCTTCCAACACCTGACAATTTGCCTTTCTCAGCCTCCCAAGTGCTGAAACTACAGCTGTGAGTCAACACATCTGTCACTAGGTTTATTTAATTTGTAAGTTAATAGACTATACTAATGGTGATGATTTTATATTTAAGTCATTTGTATTATTAGTGAGTTAACATAAGTTAATAGAGTATACTAACAGTGATTTAAATCATGTGCACCCATATTTTGTATAAGTTTATTTCTTTTTTTGTTTTGCTCTTGTTTTAAATTTACTTATTTTTTTGATAGTGAAGGATATTGGCATGTTAAGCATGGTATCCAAAACAGTCAGCCAGCACATAATTAATTATATCTCAACCTCATCTGGAAGTAGAAGACTTTTAATACAGAACTTTCATAACCTTGATCTGTCTGGCACAAAAGAAGAGACTCATCTACTAGATCACTACAGAGCTCTAGGTAATTTATGAAATGCAAACTGCAACAAGAAACACCCTAACTATATTTTGTTATATAATTCTGTAAGGTAGTGACTTGTAGAATATTTCCTGGAGATTTTCTTTTTTTTTCTATGGTATTTTTCTTTTCTTTTTTTTTTTTTGGTTTTTCAAGACAGGGTTTCTCTGTATAGCTTTGCGCCTTTCCTGGAACTCACTTGGTAGCCCAGGCTGGGCTCAAACTCACAGAGATCCGCCTGCCTCTGCCTCCCAAGTGCTGGGATTAAAGGCGTGCACCACCACCACCACCACCACCACCACCACCACCACCACCACCACCACCACCGGCGGTATTTTTATTTTCAATGTAAAGATCTTAACAGTAGTCTTACATACTTTAAAGATGAAAACTGAACACAGTGGCTCACACTTGCAATCCTAGCATTTGAAAACCAAAACCAGAGAATCATAATTTGAGCCCAGCCAGTACCTCATAGTGAGTTCCTGAGTTCTAGGTCAGCCTGGACAAAGGTGTGACTCCGCACCACAAAGCTTTATAGGACTGAGGATGTGGCTTAGTTGGGCCAGTGCTTGCCCAGCATTCATGAATCCCTGGGTTTCATCCCTGGCACCAAATGAACTGGGTGATTGTGGCACTTGCCTGTAATTCCAGTACTCAAGAAGTGGAAGCAAGAGGATTAGAAGTTCAAGGACATAGTGAGTTTATAGTCACCTTCATGAAACCTCTTCCTGGAGAGAAGGGGCAGATACTTATATACCTTTCTTGACCAACCATCACTTCCTGGGATTGAAGGTGTGTGTGTGTGTGTGTGTGTGTGTGTGTGTGTGTGTGTGTCCAACCATCACTTCCTGGGATTGAAGGTGTGTGTGTGTGTGTGTGTGTGTGTCCAACCATCACTTCCTGGGATTGAAGGTGTGTGTGTGTGTGTGTGTGTGTGTCCAACCATCACTTCCTGGGATTGAAGGTGTGTGTGTGTGTGTGTGTGTGTGCGCGCTGCGCGCGCGCGCGCTGCGCGCGCACATGTGCTTCCCAGTACTGGGATTAAAGGTGTGTCTGTTTCTCTCCTAGACTGAATCAATCTCATGTAGTTCAATGTGGCTTTGAACTCAGAGATCCAAACAGATCCCTGCCTCCTGAGTGCTAGGATTAAAGGTGTGTGCCACCACTGCCTGGCTTCTATGTTTAATCTATTGACTGGCTCTGTCCTCTGATCCTCAGGCAAGCTTTATTTGATGTTCCAGTCTTAGATGGTCTTTTAATAAAAAATTCAAACCAGATATCAGGGTGAAAGCTGAAAGATCAGAGAAGCAGAACAGCCAGCCACTAGTTCTTACCTCCACAAAATCCTCAGTCTAAAGAGAGTGAGTTCCTGTTTCCTCATGCCTTATATACCTTTCTCTGCCATATTACTTCCTGGGATTAAAGTCAGGTGTGCTTCCCAAGCAAAGGCATGAGATCTCAAATGCTGGGATTAAAGGTGTGTACCACCACTGCCTGACCTCTGTGTCTAATCTAGTGGCTGGCTCTGTCCTCTGATCATCAGACAAGTTTATTAGGGTACAAAATATATCCACAATTTGATGCACAATATATCACCACAAGTGACTTTGATCCCAGTACTTGGGAGACAGAGGCAGGTGGATCTCTGAGTTTGAGGCCAGCCTGGTCTACAGAGCAAGTTCCAGGACAGCCAGGGCTACACAGAGAAACCCTGTCTCCAAAAACAAAACCAAACCAAAAAAAAAAAAAGTATAAATTTAGACACGTTACTGGAAAATCATTATTCTCTTATCAAAATCTGTGATCTTTTTTAAGTACTCTACATATTTACTAATAAGTCATTATATTATACTGTAATTAAATTCACCTTATCAAAGGAAATACTATATCATTTTTCTTCTCTTGATATAAAATAATTTGTATCTTTTATTCCATTCATTGATTTCATTTTCCCTAGAGTGCTGAAATAAAATTCTAATTTCAGTTTGACTAATGAAACCAATATAACTATGAAACTAAAATATAATTAACCAAAACATGGTTATAAAACCAAATATCAGGATGTTATTGGGATTTAAATAAAGATATGATAGTAAGTTGAGTGAATTTTGTCTTTTAGAAACACAAGAATGCCTAGCTTTAAAAAAAAAAAGAGGCCGGGCGGTGGTGGCGCACGCCTTTAATCCCAGCACTCCGGAGGCAGAGGCAGGCGGATCTCTGTGAGTTCAAGGCCAGCCTGGTCTACAGAGCGAGATCCAGCAAAGGCGCAAAGCTACACAGAGAAACCCTGTCTCGAAAAACCAAAAAAAAAAGAGAAGTAATATGTAAATTCCTCAATAACGGCTTGTAGTTTAGGCCTGTAGTAACAGTTTATTGGGGGGCTAAAGCAAGAGGACTATGAATTCAAGGTCTGCCTGTACTGTGGAGTTCAAAGCCAACCTGAGCCATTTAGAGAGACTCAATGGCAGAGCATGCCCTAGCATGCATGAAATGAGAACCTAAATTCAGTCTACAATGCACAAAAAAAGAAAAAGAAAGAAGAGGGAAGAAAAGAAGGAAAGAAAATAGTCTGGGGCTGGAGAGATGGTTCAGAAGTTAAGAGCACTGGCTGTTCTTCTGGGTGACCTGGGTTCAGTTCCCAGCACCCACATGGCAGCTCACAACTGTCTGTAACTCCAGTTCCAGGGGATCCAGCACCCTCTTCTGACTACCTCAGGTCTATCTATCTATCTATCTATCTATCTATCTATCTATCTATCTATCTGTCTATCTAGATAGATAGATAGATATGAAGGGAAAACATATAGACAAATAAATAAGTCTTTTTTTTTTTGTAAATGAAAACAGTGTTGTTGGTTTCAGTGTTTTTAAGTAGATTTGATAAAGCCTGGAATGAATGGGGCAAGTATTAGATGATTGTCTTTTGGGTTTGGTCCAAAGGAATTTTTATTTTCCTAATCAAATCTTAGCTGCTTAAGCAAACCCAATGACATTGTCTGGGAATTAAATTCAGTGTTAGAGTACTTGCCTACCTACTGGCCCAAGCTTATTAATCACAACACTGTGGAAGTGAAGGCCATAGAATGAGAAATTCAAGGCCAGTTTCAGCTGCGTAGTGAGTATGAGACCAGCCTTGGCTACCTGAAATGGTCTCAAACAAATAAATAAAAAAGGCCCTAGGTTCCATCTTCAACATTACATTAAAAACAAAAAACAATAATTATATGGGTAATTCAATTAAAAATATATAAAGGTTGATCTTAACACCTAATCTTCAAAAAATGTTTGATTAATATATTAGCTTTAATTTTCCATTCAGTTTTTTGTAGATACATGCTTTGTGATTGGTTCTTTTGGTAAATGTTTGACACGCTCAACATTTTCCCATGCTTTCCTTCCTATCTGATCTGTTCCTGTTTTTAGATATTAAAATAACACTTTTCAGAATCTTAACTTTGAAGATTATAAATTTAATTTGCATTTCCTACTGAACAGAACAGATGGCCAGTGTAGAAAGAATACTGCATCTGACATTATTTTCCTGGGAGAACTTAAAAGAAATTAGTCTCTGAAAAAGAGTACCTGTGTTTAGAAAAAAAGTCAGCTAAACAAGAGGGTTTTATGGTAAACTGCAACCCTTAAAAATAGGAGATTTCCAGTAAAAAAGGCAATTATAGCTTGCAGTCCCAGCTATGATATAACATGAGACACAATGCCAAAACATGAAAGGAAAAGAACTCAGACTAAAGCCAAACTCTGAAAATAACTTCCTATAAGAAAAATAAGGAGGGTTTATGTTTAAAATTCAATTCTGGTCATGTGTTACCCAAACATAGCAACTTCTAAAAATAAACTTGATTCCTATAGATCTTCAGGGTTATATAATCATTTTATTATATAAAGAGTAAATGTAGAGAAGTGGTATTATATTATATAAAGAGTAAAAACTGGAGAAAGTGGTGATATTCAAGTGTATCTTTCCCTACCACACACACCATTTTTAGTGAATGCCATTTGTCCTTACAGGAATGTTAACAATGTATTGCCATTTTAGGAAAGCAGAATACTTAGGGGAAATAAATCATACACTTCCCCCAGTATAGTTCAAATAACATCTTACTGAGAAATTGGAAGGGTTTTTTTTTCAATGTCATGACACAGAATCCTACACATTAACATACATGCTCTGTAAACTCTTAGAGGAGAGATAGTTCAGTGGCTAGGAGTGAGTACTTGCTGCTCTTGCAGAGGACTAGGAGGTTTGGTTTCCAGCACCTACATGGTGGTTCACAACTGTCTATAACTCTAGTTCCAGGTAATCCAATGCCCTGTGCATATAACACATGCTGGTGAAACAGTCATACACATAAAAGTCATACACATAAAGCCAAGTGTGGTGGTGCACACCTTTAATCCCAGCACTCAGATGCAAAGGCAGGCAAATCTCTATGAGTTCAAGGCTAACCTGATCTACATAGCTAGTTCCAGGAGACAAGGTTACATAGAGAAACTCTGTCTCAAAAAAAAAAAAAAAAAAAAGAAAGAAAGAAAGAAAAGAAAAAATAGTACAAGTCTTTTGCTGTAGGATGTCTTTCTGTATGCTGTGAATATGTGTTTCTCCCATTGGCTAATAAATAAAGCTGTTTTAGCCTATGACAAGAAAATTTACAGCCAGGTGGGAATTCCAAGAGAGAGAGAGAAGGATGGAGACGGGAAAGACATGATCCAGCCACTGAGGAAGGAAGATGTGAAAGTACCAGTAAGCCACGGATCCATGTGGCAATTAAATTTAAATTAAATTTAAAGGGCTAGCTAATATAAGCTGGAGCCATAGGCCTACAGTTGATAATTAATATAAGCCTCTGAATGATTATTTATTAAGCCACTGGGACCTTAGGGCCAGGCAGGACACAGGAAAACTTCCAGCTACAGTCTTTGGAGAGAGACAGGTATTTAATCCAATATGTGAGCAAATGTATAAAAAAATATAATTTATGTGAGCAGAACTAATTTCTAACCTCTGAAATTTTAAATACTTAATGACATTTTAAAAAAAAATTTTGCCGGGCGGTGGTGGCGCACGCCTTTAATCCCAGCACTCGGGAGGCAGAGGCCGGCGGATCTCTGTGAGTTCGAGGCCAGCCTGGGCTACCAAGTGAGTCCCAGGAAAGGCGCAAAGCTACACAGAGAAACCCTGTCTCGAAAAACGAAAAAAAAAAAAAAAAAAAAAAAAAAAAAAAAAAAATTTTTTTGAGACAGAGTCCCTATATAGCCCTAGCTGGCCTGGAACTCAGTATGTAGACCAGGCTGTCCTCAAACACAGAGATCCACCTGCCTTTGCCTCCCAAGTTCTGGGATCAAAGCAATGCATCACTGCTCCTGGATGACTTTTTTTTTAATTATTATTTTGTGTGTGTATGGGTGTTTCTGCCAGAATATGTGGCTGTGTACCACATGCATGAAGTGCTCTTAGAGACCAAAAGAGGGCATCATATCCACTGGAACTGGAGTTACAGTTTGTGAGCTGCCATGTGGGTGCTAAGGATTGAAGCCTGGTCCTCTGGAAAAATAGCCAGTGCTCTTAACCACTGAGCCATCACTCCAGTCCCATGAATTTAAATTTTTATTTTTTATTATTTTTTCCCCTCTTTTGGTTTCTCAAAACAGAGTTTTTCTGTGTAACCTTGGCTGTCCTGGAACTAGCTCTATAGACTAGGCTGGCCTTGAACTCAGAGATCTGTCTGCCTCTGCCTCTCTCCCAAGTACTGGGATTAAAGGTGTGTGTCACCACCACCCAGCTGAATTTTTTTATTTGGATAAAGAAGTACAAAATCTTCCTATTCTTCCTATATTTTACACAATTTTTATAATGTTTTCCTTTGTTGGTATAAGGTTAATCCCAAGAGATACTAGAATCTATTTCCTACAGAATAAAAATAAAGTTTGCCTAGTATATCTTTTTGCCTTATTATTGTATCTTTTTAAATCAAATACTCTGATATGTGTCTTATATTATCTATATCACAAGTTTTTGGCTTTTGCCAAAGCTAGATGGACATCAACACCACTTGGTGACTGTCATGCACTATATATTATTTTTAATTCTTCCTCCAAAATATTTGTGTAAAAACTAGATCATAGTCCACAGTGATACAGCATACTTAATTTTAAGGGAATACTGTACTATGCTGTTGTGGAATATTACTTTAACTATGTAAAGATGTGTTGCATTTGTTTATGCTGCATTTGTTTAACTATGTAAAGATATATTGCTGTTTCACCTTGCCTGCCTAAGGCACCTGATTGGTCTAATAAAAATCTGAATAGCCAATAGCTAGGCAGTAGATGGATAGGTGGGGCTAACAGGCAGAGAAAATAATAGGAGGAGGAATCTAAGGGATGGGGGGGGGCGGGACACAAGGCAGAAAGAGAGGGAGATGCCCAGGGCCAGCCCAGCAGCTACCAGCCAGCCAGACATGGAAGAAGCAGGAAAGTAGGACATAGAGAATAAAAGAAAGGTAAAATCCCCGAGGCAAAATGTAGATGAAAAGAAACGAGTTAAAATAGGTTATAAGAGCTAGTGGGACAAGCATAAGATAAGGCCAAGCATTTATAACTAATAATAAGTCTCCATGTCATGATTTTGCAGCTAGTGGTCCGAGAAAGCCTGCTACACTATGCTGTTGATAAGTTTATTTAATTTCATTGTCATTTTATGTCTCTTTCCTTTCTCAGGTCTACTGTTTAAAAGATGCACCTTGCTGCTTCCCACCAAGGACAGACTAAAGTACATTCACAAGATCCTCTCAGAAGTAAGATCATATGCCAGAATTAGTTCAAGTTCTTGATTCCCAGTGAAGATAATTTATCACTAATGTCATATAGTCTTCATAAGCCTATCTTTTAAATTTTCTATATGTATGAATGTTTTGCCTGTATATATGCATATGCATCATGTGTGTGCCTGGTGCCCAAGGAAGCCAAAAGAAGGCATCCTATCCCCTGACACTGGATCTACAGGCAGTTGTGAGTCGATACTGGGAGTCAGACCTGGATCCTCTGCAAGAAAAGCAAGTGCTATCTCTCCAGCCCCAAATCTATCTTTTAAAAACAGGATTTATTTTATTTTTTAACTATGTGTATGTGTGTGTTTCTGTTTATGGGTGCCCGTGGAAGACAAAAAAAGAGATCAGATTTATAAATTAAAGCTTGGGGCTGGAGAGATGGCTCAGAGGTTAAGAGCACTGCTTGTTCTTCCAAAGGTCCTGAGTTCAATTCCCAGCAACCACATGGTGGCTTACAACCATCTGTAATGAGATCTGGTGCCCTCTTCTGGCCTGCAGGGATATGTGCAGGCAGAACACTGTATACATAATAAATAAAGAAATCTTTTAAAAAAATAAATTAATTAATTAATTAAAGCTTATCATCGTTATATGCATTTAGGAAAAATATATGAAGAGATGGCTCAGTGGTTAAGAGTACATAATATTCTTGCAGAGGACCCAGCTTTGATTCCCAGTACCTTAGTGGGATGACTCATAACCTTCTGTAACTCCACCTGTAGGTGATCACACACCTTTGGTCTCTGCAGGCACCCACACATACCTGCACACATACAGATAATTCAAAATAAAGCTGGGCAGTGGTGGCACACGTCTTTAATCCCAGTACTTGGGAGGCAGAGGCAGGCAGATCTCTGAGTTCGAGGCCAGCCTGATCTACGAAGCAAGTTCCAGGACAGCCAGGGATACACAGAGAAACCCTGTCTCGAAAATCCAAAATCAATAAATTACAATATATTTTATACTATACAAGAATAATAAGGTAGTTAGTGGTTTTTTTGTAATATTTATTTTTATTTGTGGCAGAGTGTGTATACCAAGGTGCACACCTCTACTTCCTTTTTTTGAAGGGGGATTTTTTTTTTTGAGACAGGATTTCTCTGTGTAGCAGTTCTGGCTGTCCTGGACCTTGCTTTGCAGACCAGGCTGTCCTTGAACTCACAGAGATCCTCCTGCCTCTGCCTCCCGAGTGCTGGGATTAAAGTCATGAGCCTCCACCACCCGGTTGGCAGTCCTCTTTTTCACATGGGTTCCAGGATTGAATTCGGTCCCCACGTTTGTGACACAAGCACTTTACCTGCTGAGCCGTCGCTCTCACAGCTGCCAAAGTTGTTTCAAATGGTGACTTAGAGGCTGGGTGGTGGTGTACACCAGAGCTGGTGGGTCTCTGTGAGTGAGTTCGAGGCCAGCCTGGTCTCCAGAGCAAATTCTAGGACAGCTAGGGCTGCACAGAGAAACCCTGTCTCAAAAACAAAACAACAACATAAAAGTGGTGACTTAGGGGCTGGGGCTGTAGCTCAGTTAATAGATTGTCTGCTTATGATTTGTTCCCTAGCACCTCTTAAAACAGCACAGGGGCACAGGCCTGTAATCCAAACACTAGGGAGACTGAGGCAGAAGCATCAGAAATTCAAGGTCATACTCCTCAGCTACATAGTGAGTTCCAGATCATCTTGAGATAGGTGGCCCTGCCTCAAAAAAACAAAAACAAAAAGCTGGATGTGGTGGCACAGACCTGCAATCCCAGCAATCAGGAGGCAGAGGCTGAGGATCAGGAAATCAAGGTCATCTCTGCTGTGTAACCAGTTCAAGACCTTGTCTCAAAAATAAAACAAAGCAGTCCTTATGAGCCACCATGGAGTTGGCTGAGGAGTCAGAACGGTGCAGCTTTTCCTCTTCTGTCTTTCTCCCACAGCCTCAGCAGGCTTTTTCGGATCCCGTGGGCTCCCCCTTTTTTTCTCTAAAGCTGGCTCCCCTCCATTTGTTTGTCTGCATGTGGCAGACCTCTGTGCCAGCTTAAATGGCATGGCCTTTCTTCATTCTCTCCTCCATTCTCCTCCTCAGCTGCTGAGATTTATAGCTTGCCTGCCCTGGGTGGTTTTCCTTTAAATGCTAATGAGATTCAAAAGATAAAAATAATAATGATTTAGGTATTTTATTAAAATGAAATAATTTCTAAGTGTTAAAATCTTTTTATGTAAGTATACTAAACAATAAAGATTTGAGATTTTTATTTTGTTTTGCTGTGCTGGGGATGAAACTTGGGCCTCTTGTATGCTATATAACTATAACTGAGTTATACCCTTAGGCTGAAATTGTATGTGTGTGCATGTGCGTGCGTACCTATATGTGCATATCATGGCCACAAGCTGACGTCAGAAAACTTCCCTACGTATTTGTTGTTGTTACTGAGACTGGCCTCAAACACAGAGATCCACCTGCCTCTGCCTCCCAAGTGCTAGGATTAAAGGTGTGTGCCACCAAACCTAGCCCTCTACTATGAATAGTTTGCCTGAGTGTATATATGTGTACTGTGCACATGCCTAGTGAGTGCAGAAGTCAGAAGAAGGCATAGGTTCCCCTGGAACTGGAGCTTATGAATGGTTGAGTCATCGTGTGGGTTCTGGGATCTTAACACAGGTCCTCTACAAGAGCAGCAGGTGCTGTAATCTGCCGAGCCATCCCTCCAGCCTCTCCACTTAATGTTTCTTTATTGTTTTGGGAGGGGAGTTTTTCTTTTTTTCTTTGGGTTTTGGGTTTTGGTTTTTGGTTTGGGTTTTTGATATCTGAGACAGGGTCTTTTTATGTAGTCTTAGGGAATCTGGAACTCTATGTAGACCAGGCTAGCCTCAAACTCATGGAGGTCAGGCTGTCTCTGCATCTTGAATGCTGGGATTAAAGGTGTGCGCAACCACACTTGGCTTCACCTTATGTTTTAGAGACATAAGGAGCTCCAGCTTGCTGTTTCAGCTAGTCTGGCAGACCTGAGAGCCCTGGAGATCCACCTGTCCCTCTCCAAACCCATCCCCAGCACTGCGGTTACAGGCTCACCTTACCACACTCAGCTGTTTTTACATGGATGTTGGGGATTCTGCCTGCCTCTGCCTCACAAGAGCTGGGATCAGAGGTGTGCCCACCATGCCCAACACTAATTTTTTATTAATAATTTTTTAAATTAAAATATAATGTCATTTCTCCCTTTTTTCTCCCAACCCTTCATATATACCCCCTTCTTTATCTCAAATTCATGCCTTCTTTTTCCTCTGTTATACACACACACACACACACACACACACACACACACACACTCCTAAATATATAAATACAGCCTGCTCAGTCCATATACTGTTATTTGTATAGACATTGTTTCAGGGCTGACTACTTGTTATTGGATAACCAGTTTGGTGCCTCTTCCCTGGGGAAGACTAGTTCTCCTGCTCTCAGCATTCCTTAGTTGCCCTTTTTGTCTAGGTTTGGGGCCCCAAGAGATTTCCCCCTTCCATGTCAGCGTGTCTATTAGTGTCTTCCTTGTTCAGGTCTCATTTAGGCAGCCATGCTGATGATTTCATGACTTCATGGGTATAGTTTTCCTAGTATTTCTAGGAAACACACTCTCACAGCAGACTTCCTGTTCCCCTGACTCTCACAGACTTTCCATCCCTTCTTCCTACATGATCTCTTGTGTTGGAGATGTATCAGGTGGGGCTGGGCACCACAGAATCACTTGTTCCTCTGCATTTTGATCTGTTCAGATTTTCTGCAATGGTCTCTGTTGCAGAGTTTCTTTAATGAGAGCTAGACCCTGTCTCAAGATGTCTCCAGTAGCCAGGCATAGTAGTGCATGCCTTTAATCTCAGCAGAAGGAGGTAGAGGCAGGCCTGGACAGTCAGAGCTACAAAGAGAAACCCTGTCTCAAAACAACAACAACAACAACAGCAGCAACAAGCTATCTCCAGTAAACCTGAATATCAAGTTATTTTATAGATCCACTAACAGTTGCTCTCTCTACAGGTTTCCTGTTTTAAATTCAATGGCTGTTCGGCTCCTTTGCAATGTGTAGGATTACCATGTTATGGGATGTTTTTACAGGTACATTGTTTAATGAATGATTTTGAATGTTAACAAGTAGAATATGGAATTCCTGTGTACATTAATAGACACTCTAGTAATTGTAAAGCAAAATAACGCTGTAAAAATTTGTTTAAGAATATGTTTGGTTTTCTAACTGGTGAGAAATGCTTAGCATTTATTTACTCTATATAAAGGTACTTAAATTTTGTTTGTTTTTTGTGAGCTAGGGATTGAACCTAGATCCTTAGGCATACTAGGTAAGCACTCTGTCTCAGAGCTGCAACCCAAGCCCTTAGCCAACTTAAAAGACTAAAGGTAGTATATGTGTGCATGGGTTTATAATTTTATTTTATTTTATTTTATGAGTCCAGGTCTCACTATGTAGCCATGGCTGTCTTGGAACTCACTATGTAAACCAAGATGGTCTCCAGCTCACAGAGATTTGCTGCCTCTGCTTCCCAAGTGCTAGGAATAAAGGAGTGCACCACTACACCTGGCTTTTTTAAAAGAATTTGTTTATCTTTATTTTATGTGCATTGGTGTTTTACCTATATGTATGTCTGTGTGAGGGTGTCAGATCTTGGAGTTACAGACAGGGTGCTGGGATTAAACCTGGGTCCTCTGGTAGAGCAGTTGGTGCTCTTAACCACTGAGCCATCACTCCAGCCCCTACACTTGGCTTTTTTATGATATTTTCAGTTTAAATTTATGGACTAATTTCCTGAAATGTGACTTTAGAAATCAATTTATTATGTCAAGAATATCTACTAATCTCTTATAAAGAGAAAAATGAAAAGTGTCATTTATTAAGCCTTATATATGTGCCAGACACTGTCCTAAGCAGTCTTCATGAATTATCTAATTTAAAACTTATAACTACCTTAGGCTCTTACCACATTCCTCAGGACTGTACCTGAGAATCATATGCTGTTTCCCAGCCTCCCAGCTACCAGCTCTTATGTACCCAGACTCTAGGACTTCCTACTAACAGTCTTCCAAAACAGATTTTTTACTTTTTTCCATTTGTTTTGTACTTCCTATCTTTGGATTAAGTATTAAGATATGCATTCATGTAAAATTCAAAAGGAACAAAATATATAAAGTAAAAAGTCTCCCTCCCAGGCCTATCTCCCATCTACTGATTTCTTTTCACCAGAAATAATCACTGCTTAGCAATTTCTCTCATTCTAGAAGGAATAAAGTTAAATTGTGGGGTGCTGGGATTGAAGAGTAATTTTTTTAAAATGTGTGTAGGTCTGGAGAGATACTCAGTGGTTGTGGGCACTGACTGCACTTGCAGAGGACCCAGGTTCAATTCCCAGCATGCATATAGTGACTCATACCCATCCAAACTCCAGTTGTAGGAGGTCCTACAGCCCTCTTCTGACCTTCTTGGGGATCAAGCACACACATGGTACACATACATATATGCAAGCAAAACATTTATACACATAAAATAAAATAAATAAAAAAATTTTTTAATTTGTATTTGTGTCACAATGTCCAAGTGACAACATAAGAGCTGGTGCTCCATCCACCCTGTGGGTTGGGTGTCGCACCTTTACCTAATGAGCCACCTCACTGTCTCAGAAGATTATTTTTTTAAACCACTGAAATCCAGTTAATTATTTTAAGGATTTATATGGGGGGCTAAGAGTGGTGGCACACTCCTTTAATCCCAGTGCTCTGGAGGCAGAGGCAGAGGCCAGCCTGGTCTACCTAATGACTTCTAGTCCAGCCAGAGTTGCAAAGTGAGACCTTGTCTGAAAAATAAATAAATAAACTACATGATTAATGAATTTATATAATTGTATGCTACTTAAATCTCCTTTTTATATGTTTGTACATTTTTATATATTCAAGACAGTTATTAAATTTTGTCTTTTTTCATTTATTTAAAAATAAACAAGTTATAATCAATTATCACATTAAAATGAGATCATTATCATTTGTAAACAATATCAAAATGACAAGTGTAAAAGTCTTAGACAGTCTACTGTAAAACTAAGCCACAGAGGCTGAAAGATGGTCCAGTAGGTAAGAGTACTTGATATGTTAAGTCTGAAGACCTAAATTCAAATCCTCAGCACCTGAGTAAAAGGTTTCCATTGCCATGGTGACCTCTGATCCCATCCAAGGGGCTTACTGGCTGCCAGCATAGCCAAAAACTATAAGTTCTAAATTTGGTGAGAGAGTGTCCCAAAGGAATAGGAGCATGTAGAAGGGTACACCCAACATCCCCTTATGTGTGTGTCCTCTGTGGTCACATACACTCTCTCATACACACATATACACAAAAATAAATTAATCATTGGTTTAATTTAGTTTGATTTAAGTTTAAAAGCTGAGTCACAGCCGGGCGGTGGTGGCGCACGCCTTTAATCCCAGCACTCGGGAGGCAGAGCCAGGCGGATCTCTGTGAGTTCGAGGCCAGCCTGGGCTACCAAGTGAGTTCCAGGAGAGGCGCAAAGCTACACAGAGAAACCCTGTCTCGAAAAACCAAAAAAAAAGAAAAAAAGAAAAAAAAAAGCTGAGTCACAAAACCAGGACTAGAGTTCCATTACTTAGACTTGCTGCAGGCAGATCTTGGGTTTGAGATCACTCATAGTACAGTAGTGAGTGAGGTCCAAACTGAGAAGGCTGTAGAGGTGGTTCATCAGCTAAGAAGACTTGATGCTCTTGCAGAACACCAAAGTTTGGTTCCTAGCACCATATCAGGGCAGCTCACAATTGTCTGTAGCCACAACTCTCCTGGCTTCCACAAGCACCTTCACTCATGTGGCATAACCTTACAGAGACATATACTCAAAAATCAAAATAAATTTATAAAAACCTTAAAATTTGCTGAGTGTTGGTGGCACACAAACTAGGAGAGGCAGGCAGATCCCTGAGTTTGAGGCCAGCCTGGTCTACATAGTGAGTTCCAGGACAGCCAGGACTACATAGAGAAACCGTGTCTTGAAAAAAAAAAAAAGCAAAAACAAAACAAAAAAATAATAAAAACAAAATAAAAAAAATGTGGTGGGGGGCAAGAGAGATGTCTCAGTGGTTAAGAACACTGACTACTCTTCCAGAGGACCCAGGTTCAATTCCCAGCACCCACATGGCAGCTCACTAGGACCCGACACCCTCACACAGACATACATATAAAACACCAATGCACATGAAATAAAAATAAATAAATTTTTTTTAAATAAATAAATTATTTTTAAAAAAACTACAAAAACACCTTTCTTCCTAACAAAAAAGAAGCAAGATTTTGGAGAATTTCTAGGTTGTGATTATATAGATTTCTTGTGAAGTGAGGGTAAAAATTGCACATCACCTAGATCATGTACTGCAAACAGCCTATTTTTATTAGGAAGTCGTGGCTTACCCTTCCAATTTGTGTCTGAACTTGTGCAAATGTTTCTTCTGTTTTCCTCAGACCTTAACAGCGGGTTGGGATGAACTTGAGTGCCATCGTGTTTATAACTACTTATGTGAGTTGACTAATCTCTCCCGTAAGATGCAGACTGTTGTCTGTAACAAACCAGGTAAAGAGCTTCATTTCAAAGATAATAGTATAGAGGTGAAATGTTATGAAGAGGTAGAGTTGAAAAGTATACGTAAAACAAGTTGTGGAGGGGCCGGGATGTAGCTCGCTTGGTAGTGGGTTCCATCCCAGCACCACAGAAACTAGGATACCATGTGGACATGATCTGCTTCCCGTTGGTAGTTTCTCTGGAGAAGCCTGACTAACATAGAAGGGACAAGGACAGACCCCAAATCCAAGATGGTGATTCTTCTGGGGAAAGTGATTGGAATTGGTAAACTAAAAATTCAACATTTGTAATACTTATTTTAAAAACCCTGAAACAAGCATAGAAAGATGTAAAGCTTTGACTAAACTTGATTTGCATACTGTATTTGTTACTGTATTTTTACTTTTGTGTCAACTTGAAACATTTCACTATAAAAAAAAAAGTGATGAGCTGGGCAGTGGTGGTGGTGGTGGTGGTGGTGGTGGTGGTGGTGGTGGTGGTGGTGGTGGTGCAGCAGCACACCTTTAATCCCGGAACTCAGGGAGGCAGAGTCAATGAAGCTCTGTGAGTTTGAGGCCAGGCTGGTCTACATACTGAGTTCCAGAAAAGCCAGGGCTGCATCGAGAGAATCTGTCTCAAAAATAATCAAACTTACTGTCCACTGGTTTAGCTAGACTTGAGCATATTGTTCTTTCTACTCACTGTGTCTCCAATGCCCTTTATGCAATTGTAGTATCCTCTGGGAACCTTTTTCATTTTCTCATTTTTCTTAAATACTTTCTTTCTGTCTCATGCTTTAAGACTCAATTTGGGGTCTGGAGATGTAGTTTAGATGGTGGTAGAATACTTTCCTAGGATGCCCCAACATTGAATAAAACTGATAGGGTGACTCATGCCTGTCATCCCAGCACTTTGGAGTTGGAACCAGGCGGATCAGAGGCTCAGAGTTATCCTTAGCTATATACTGAGTCCAAGGCCAGCCTGGGAAACACAAAACCCTGTTTGAAAGATAAGTAATTAATTAAATAAACTTAAGAAAATCAGGCCTAGCTCATACCTCTGATCTCAGCACTTAGAAGAGAAGGCAAGAAGATTAGAAGTTCCAGTCTAGTCTCAGCTATATACAGAATTTGTAGCCATTTTGGGCTACATCAGAACCAGTCACAAAAAAGCTAAAATTGTGGCTGTTTACTTGGCAGATAAAGGTGCTTGAATCTGAGTTCCCTAGGATTCACATGGTGGGGGGGGCAGAGAACTGACTTCCACATGCATGCTATGGCACATATACACACATACATGTAGGCACACACAAAATTTAAAAATGTAATAATTTTTTAAAACTGCACACATGTAGTACACAGACATATATGAGTCAAAACACCTATACACATAAAATAAAAATAAATACAATTGAAAAATTATTAATCCAAAAATATAAATAAATCATAACTCTTAAAAATTGTGTGGAAGAAAGTGGAGTACCACTTTCAGTACAAAGTATGTGGATAATGTATGTCTGGTCTTTATATTCATTTCCAGGCTGGAGAGATGGCTCAGCCATTAAAGGCTAGGCTCACAACCAAAAATATATTTATTTCCTTTTAAATCCAAAATCTGGCTGAAGATGCATTTCGTACCTGCCACCACATACATTGGGTGCAGTAACACACCTGTAACCCCAGCATTGAGGAGGTGAAAGCAGGAAGATCTGAAGTTTAGTATTAACCACAAAATGAGTTCAAGGCCAGTCTGGGATACATGAGACCCTGTCTAAATATGTAAATCTAAAACTACATAAGATTCTGATAAAACTGAGCATGGATTTAACTTACCCATTATTCAAATTACCAAAGCTAAATAAGGAAAATAAGCACAGAAGATAGTCAAACTACAAAGTTAGGGCACCTTCTACTTCCTGGTGACTTCCTGTTTATACACTCAGTTTATGATCTCTCTTTAACCATGGTGGTTAATACCTGGCTCTGATCATTATCCAGTATGCAACTTACCTTTCTAGAAAAATTATTTACAACCTTTTCTTTATAGGAAGTTCCCGAAAACTAGAGTTAAGGATTAGACTGTTCTGTAGGAATGTCCTACTTGATCACTGGACACAACGAAGTGATTCTGCATTTTGGTTGACTCGAATATTAAAACCATGGCCAATGGTGAATCAGGCAAGATTGCTATATATTATCTTTGGACCAACAGCTCCTCAAGATGGTAAGCACCATTTCTTTTTTGAGGGATGTGTGTTATATACCTGGTTAATTACTTTTGCTTTAGGAAAGCTTTTTAAAAACCTTACTGCCAGGAGGTGGTGGTGCTCGCCTTTAATCCCAGCACTTGGGAGGCAGAGGCAGGTGGATCTCTGTGAGTTCGAGGCTAGCCTGGTCTACAAAGTGAGTTCCAGGACATCCAGGGCTACACAGAGAAACCCTGTCTCAAAAAAAAAAAAAAAAAAAAAAAAAAAAAAAAAGAGTCACATGAGTAAAGTGTCCAATCACAAGGGCAAGCCACACATGGCAAAAACATGTTTTTCATAGAGGCATATAAGCAAATAACTATTGTTAATTGTAATAATAATCTGAAATAAACTCACTCCTGTCTGTTACACCTGGGAAGAGCATGAAAACACATTCAATTCAAAATTTCATGATTTTGAAGAAACTGAGACACTTGGCTTGTTTTCTTGGAGTTTTCTCACAAGTACTCAGAATTCTCCTTACATGACTCCGTTCTTGGACTGTATTCTGATACATAGAGTTTCAGACTGTCAGAGATATATAGTAAGTGTCTTAGTTAGGGTTCTTTAGCTGTGAAGAGACACTGTGACCATGGCAACTCTTATAAAGGAAAACATGTAACTGGGGCTGGCTTACAGTTTCAGAGGTTTAGTCCATTATCATGGCAGGTGGCATGCAGGCAGAGACAGTGCTGGAGAAGGAGCTGAGAGTTCTACATCTTGATCCTCAGGCAGCAGGAAGTGAACTGTGTCACACATGGGCATAGCTTGAGCATATAAGACCTCAAAGCCTGCCTCCACAGTGACATGCTTCCTCCAACATGGCCACACCTCTTAATAGTGCCACTACCTATGGGCATTCAAACAACACATTAGTCTCTGGGGGCTATACCTTTCAAACCACCACAGTAAGACTTTGTCTCAAAAATAAATAAATACCATCTATTTATTTATTTATTTTATGTGTGTGTATGTGCATGTGTGTAATGTGGCATGTCTGTGGCATGTCTGTGGAAGTCATAGGACAATTTACAGGAACTACTTCTCACTGTATACTGTGGGGTTCTGGGATGGACTTCAGGTCACCATGTAACGGGGACTATGGGGGTCCAGCCCCTCGATAGTCCCCTCCCAGGGTCCAGGAAGAATCTACAACCAGCTGATAATTAATCTTTGATGAAAAGAAATGAATCTATGTACACCAAACTCCTTAGTTCATACACTTTATTATTCTGTGATAGTTCTCTGTGCACAGCTTCTATTCTGCTCTCATGTCTAGCTCCTTTCTTGCCTGATTTCTCTCTATATTTATCTACTGTCCCCTCTAGGTTCTATCTTAATTCCTTCATCTAGTTCTGTCCCTTCTAGGTTCTCATCTATCTAGTTCTTTCCCCTATTAGCTCCTCTCCCATCTCCTTCTCTCTCATCTGGCTTTTCCTCATCTTGTTTTTCCCCATCTTGCTCTTGCTCAGCTTCCATCTTGTTCCTCTAGTACTGTCTTCTAGCCCTTCAATCTAGTTCTTCCCCATCTCAGTTTGTTCCTCTCAAGTTCTTACCCATCTAGTTCTTCCATTCTTTTTTCTCTTCTCCGCCCTGTGCCCTGGAAGTCCCAGTATATAAAGGGAGGGTCCGAGCTAAGTTGTGTAAAGCTATTACTTAATGTCCACCTCTCCTAGGCGGTGTCTCCTTGTGGAATTTACCGTAAGTCAGGAGACTTGCATGTGGGCTGTTACCATTGTTAGTCCTCGGAAGTTGGGCGCCCACCTGGGTGGTGTTTCCTGTAGTCCTTGAAAGTGACTAAGGGAGATAATTTGATTCCAGAGAAAGCCTTTCCTGAGGCAGTTCTCCAAATACCTGGAATGTGTATGTCCAGAGAGTGATCATTCTACACTGTTAGTCCTTCTTAGGGGAAAGCCAATTGGAAAAACTATGAAGGCACACATGATTTTCATAACAGAAGACAGCTGATATATAACAAGCCAAGTAACACCAAAAACTCCTTGGGATTTGGCTTCCTCTGGAGGAATTCCCTGATTCCTCCAGGTAGTGACTTTGCCATAACCAGCTGAGTTCTTATGATATATTCCTGCGGCCTGCAGCAACCATGTTGACAGCAAGCACCTTTACACCTTTATCCACTGAGCCATGTGAAGGTCCAAGGAAGGCCTTTTGTCTTTACTCAGGTCCATCATTGCTAGTGTTTAGAGTGTGCTTTCACAGTTTCAAAAACATACTGCATTAACTTGTGCATACCCTGAGCTTCAAGACAGAAATTGTTCTGCTCTGAGTCAGAACCAGGTATATTCCTGTTCTCTCTCTCTCTCTCTCTCTCTCTCTCTCTCTCTCTCTCTCTCTCTCTCTCTCTCTCTCTCTCTCTCTCTCTCTCTCTCTCTCTCACTTTTTGAGACAGGGTTTCTTTGTAGCCCTTGCTGTCCTGGAACTGCTCTGGAGACCAGGCTGGCCTTGAACTCACAGATGTCTGCCTGCTTCTTCCTCCTAAATCTTGGGATTAAAGGCATGGACCACTACTGCCTGGCTCCTGTCATCTCTTATTTACCTAAAAGTGCTGCTTTCCCATCTTAAACATGAATATAACTTGAGGTTATGTTTGCTGCTGGAGGGAACTGACGATGCTGAGAAACAAAACAGAGGCCCGAACTGATGATTTACTTAGTTTTAGGTTTTCAGATTCATAATCTGACTTTTTAAAAAGCTTGTTACCCAGGTTGTGCTTGGATTAATGTTAAAAATATCTTACATTTCCTTATTCCACTCTTATCAGTACATAACCAGTTTTAATGCATATTGGCTAGCAGCCAGGAGTTTTACTTTGAAATTAAAATGTTGTTGTGTATAAGCCACAGAGAAGACTGGCAATAAACAAATAGAAAGTGACTGAGCTGCTCTGTTGTGATGCAAATGTTTGAAAGATGCTAATAGAAGCAAGCTCCTTTCCAGAAGGATGCCAGTAGATTTTACTTGATTTTAGTGAAATTATAGCAGTTGACATTCCGATCTGTATTACAGGGTAGTGTCATCTCTGTACTAAAAGCACTATTCTTTGAGGCTGAGGGAGAGTTCAGTGGGTAATGTGCTCGCTGTGCAAACATGGAGAGCTGACTTTGACCCCCAACACCCAGGTAAAAAGCTGGGTGTAGTGGCTTGTACTTGTAATCCCAACACTGAGGATGTAGCAATGGGCATTTCCCTCAGGCTGCCAGCCATCTTAGTCTGATAAGTGAGCCCTAGGTCCCAGTGAAGGACTCTGTCTCAAAAATAAATCATAATAAAAAAAATAAAAAAGTAAATGATTCCTGAGGAATAACACCCTGGCTTCCACATGCATGCACATTCATACAGGAAAAGGATAATACAGATAATAAATAGATAGAAACGCTGTCCTTTTTATGAAGAGAGTTAGGACTTATTAAAGATATGTTAATATAAAGGGCTGGAGAGACGGCTCAGTGGTTAAGAACACTGACTGCTCTTCCAGAAGGCCTAGGTTTGGTTCCCAACACCCACATGGTAACTAACAACCATCTGTAACTCCCATCCCAGGGGATCCAGCACTCTCTTCTGACTTTCGCTGGCACCAGGCATGCACATGTTGCATAGACATATATGCAGGCAAACATTCATACTCATAAAATAATATAAAACAAAACCTAAAAAAAAAAAACCTGCGTCAAGCGGTGGTGGCACATGCCTTTAATCCCAGCACTCAGGAGGCAGAGCCAGGTGGATGGATCTCTGTGAGTTCAAGGCCAGCCTGGGCTACAAAGTGAGATCCAGGACAGGTGCAAAGCTACACAGATAAACCCTGTCTCCAAAACAAAACAAAACAAAAAACAAACAAACAAACAAAATGCTATAATATGTAGCATGAATCTTAGAGAGTTTTATTAATAAAATCAAACCCGGGGCCAGTTATTGGGGTGAAATGCTGGATGGTCAGAGAGACAGAACAAGCCACAGCTAACCTCACCTGGCCAACTTCTCAGCTGATCTTGTTTCCTCAGACTGGAAGCCTCTGTGTTCTCATATCCGAATGGCTCTCAGCTGAACTGCTGATCGAAAGCCTGAACCAGCCAAATGCTTAACCAGCCAAATGCTTCAAGTTTCTGATCCTCACGCCTTATATACCTTTATGCTTTCTACCACCACTCCCTGGGATTAAAGGCTCACTTTCTGAGATTAAAGGCGTGAGTCACCATGCTTGGGTGTATCCTTGAACACATGGACTTCTGCCTCTGGGAATGCTAGGATTAAAGGCGTGTGCTACCACTGCCTATCTTAAGTATCTAGTGGCTTTTCTGTTCTCTGACCCCAGATAAGTTTATTAAGGTACACAATATTTTGGGGAATACAATACCACCACATTATAATACCTAGTAACAAAAAATTAACTTAAAAAATATGTTAATATAGGCTTAAGCAGAGACTTTTTTTTTTATTTTTTTGGTTTTTCGAGACAGGGTTTCTCTGTGTAGTTTTGCGCCTTTCCTGGAACTCGCTTTGGAGACCAGGCTGGCCTGAACTCACAGAGATCCGCCTCCCAAGTGCTGGGATTAAAGGCGTGCACCGCCGCCCAGCTTAAGCAGAGACTTAAGAGAACTCTTTCTTAGGAGAAAGTAACAGCAATTTATGGGTGTGGGCTTCTCAAAGAAGAATTGTTGAAAGGAAGACCTACCAAAGCATGGGTACGAGCTCCTCAGGGGAGAGTCACAAAAGCACTGTTCTTCATGTTCAAACTACTTTAGTTACTTGGTTTAGATATTATTGCTGTGTTTCATCACAGTTAATGAGAAACTCAAATTTATAATGATATCAGAATTGATATTTTTTTTTGTTTTGTTTTTTAAGATTTATTTATTTATTATGTATACAGAGAAGGGTGCCAGATCTCATTACAGATGGTTGTGAGCCACCATGTGGTTGCTGGGAATTGAACTCAGGACCTCTGGAAGAGCAGTCGGTGCTCTTAACCTCTGAGCCATCTCTCCAGCCCCCCAGAATTGATATTTTAATGATGACTGTAGCTTATATAAGTAATGGGATTGTATAATCCTTTCCATTCTAAACAAATCCTGAAGTCTTTATCACAAACCATCTGTTCTGTCATAGCCTACTTTTTGTTTCAATCCAGGGCAGGTGATTTGGCAGGAAATGGTAGAAGGACCCACAGACGAATCCAGTTTGAAAGGTTTGGCTAATGCCATTAAGTTACTCTATGACACAAGTACCAAGGAGTGGACGGCAGATGATGTTATCAGTCTTGTAGATGAGCTATCAGGTAAAGTGTGTGTTTACTAATATAGAGTAATAGAAATTTAGTGTTAGAATACACCTATAAAGTTATACAGACAATTCTCTAAGTAACAAAAAGTGTATTAGGAATCACTAATTGCTCAATATGTAGTTTTAAGTATGTCTTGTTATTGCTCCAAAACATTTTTAGCTTTGTGTATGTGCTCGTATGTATGTGGAGTATGTAAATACATGTGGTGTAAGAATGTGTTTATTTCAATTTCCAATATTTTAAGTTAAATTTGTTCTTTGACAATTTCATGCATTTATATAATGCATTCTGATTACTCTTGCTCTTTACCCTCTCTTAGCTCCCTCCCACTCCTATAAACTCCCCTCCTCCTCTCTATAAGACTTTCTCTCTGTCATGTCTTTTTATTTTGTTTTGTGACCCACTAAGTTTAACCAGGATGTTTGCTGTGGAATAATCCTCTTGTACACTGTAAAGATTTGTCACTCGAACTGGTTTAATAAAACACTGATTGGCCAGTAGCCAGGCAGGAAGTATAGGCGGGGCGACCAAACTTAGGATGATGGGAAGGAGAAGGGTGGAGTCAGGAGTCACCAGCCAGATGGAGAGCAAGTTGGACACTCAAAATGGGTAGAGGTAAAGGCCACAAGCCCAGGGCAGTACATGGATTAATAGAAATGGGTTAAGTTACAAGAGCTAGTTAGTAATAAGCCTGAGCTATTGGCTGAGAATTTGTAACTAAATAAGTCTTTGTGTGTTTATTTGGGACCAGGTGGTCGGGACAGGAAACATCCGACTACAGCTGTCCACGAGACCATGGGTGTAGAACTGTCCCTTGCAACCTGGTAGACTCACCGTGGGCACACAATTGAAAACAATGGTTCCAGCTCCCGTAGCATCCATCAGTAGCCAGCAGTTCCCCAGGAGGGATTCAGTTCCCAGTTTTACATAATATTCTTAGGTCACTTCATAGTTTAATGAGTTTGCTTACTCTCATTTTACAAGAGAGACACATACATATTCTTCAAGATTATATAAAAAGAAAGCCTCCTGTTGCTGTAAATACAGTTACTCTGACGTTCACAAGGCCTTTATCCTTACTTATGATGTCACTTTGCCTGCTGACGTATGTGTAGAACTACTTTGACTAAACTATCAGCACAGTGGTAAAGCACCATGACATGGGGTGATCCCTGTCTCTGGTTGGATCTCTGAGGACAGCCTAGTCTATAGAGTGAGTTCCTAGACAGCCAGGAATACACAGAAAAACCCTGTCTCAAAAAGAAAAGAAAGAACAAATCTAAAACATTGTTTCTGAGTATTTCCCTCGGCACTAATTACATTTCCAGTAAAGTAATATAATATTGGATGTGTCTAAAGATGTTTACTACAGCAATTGTGTAATTTCTCATTAAATACTGTTCTTCCTTTAATAAAAGTGGTTCCCCGGGAGTGGCTTCTGGAGAATAATGCACGCCTCCTAATCCTGAGCGGGAACAACATCTGCTTCACTTTCATGGCCAGTAAAGCTGTGAACGGACGGGCCATTGAGCTTGCGAGGCTCATAGTCTTTTTGGCTTTGGTAAGTAAACTAAATTTTTCTCTAGCAAGTTATTTAGCATTCACTTGACCCAGCAATAGAGCTGCTTCCCTGGTGCTTACAAAGCCCCAGGTTTGTTTATATAGTCCAGGCTGGCCCAAAACTCTCTATGTAGGCAAAGGTGACCCTGAATTTGAGTGCTAGGATTACAGGCATGTGCCATCACACTCCATTTTATTCACTTACTAAGCATTTCCCATTTGCAGACTCAGTGGGTATCCTATGCAATAAACTATGCTACATCATGAGCCTGCCCTATGCAATAAACTATGCTACATCATGAGCTGTCATTGTCACTACCACTTTAAGCTTTACAGCTTTCTTCACATGAAGACTGATAATAGTGCTTTGTGCATCTGAATCAGGTGTGTGAGAAAGAGCTATATTGCATGGACTGGACAGTTAGAATGATGCAAAAAGTCTGCAAAGTCTTCAGCACTGCAGCAGAGAGAAAGAGCTTCCTGCAGAGCGTGGCAAATGCTTTTGCCTGTGTCACCATGGAAATGCTGCAGCCTATTATGTCTGGTAAGTAAGATTGCAGACAGTTCATAGGAGTGAGTGATAGTGCCTTCAGGTCTCAGCCTCAGATGCAGCTAACTGGGCTTGGTGGTACACACCTATAGTCCCAGTACTCAAGCCTGAGCAGGTGAGCTGAAGTTTGAGCCAGCCTGGGCTACATAGTGAAACTCTGTCTGGGAGTTTGATTGTGGTTTTTTTGAGACAGAGTCTCTCTCTCTAAGTAGACCTAACTGACCTGGAACTCTCTATATAGACCAGGCTAGCCTTGAACTCACAGAGAGCCAACTACCTCTGCCTTCCAAATGCTGAGACTAAAGGCATACGTTACCACACAGGGCCTTATGTAGGTTTTAACAGATACTAATTTAGTTTACTAGGTGGCCAACATGATAATTAACCCTGCTGGGTTTTTTTTATTTTATTTATTGTTTACTCATTTTTTTATTTCATGTGCACTGGTGTTTTGCTTGCATGTATGTCTATGTCAGGGTCTCAGATTCCCTGGAACTGGAATTACAGACAGCGGTGAGCTGCCATGTGGGTGCTGGGAATTGAACCCAGGTCCTCTGGTAGAGCAGTCAGTGCTCTTTACCGCTGAGCCATCTCTCTAGCCCCAACCCTGCTGTTTTTTAAAAAAGCTTTTTTTGGAACTCATAGAGATCCACCTGCCTCTGCCTCCCAACTGCTGGGATTAAAGGTGTACACCACTGCCACCTGGCTTTTGCTGTTATTTTATTTTGCCTGCATGTATGTCTGTGCACTATGTGCATGCCTGATACCTGCAGAGGTCTAAAGAGGATGTTGGATTCCTTAGAACTGGAGTTAAAGATGATTGTAAGCCACCACGTGGGTGCTTAGACTCGAACCAGGGTCCTCTGCAAAAAGGAATTGGCTGGTGCTCTTAACCAATAAGCCATCTCTCCAGCTCCTAATTAGCCCTGTTTTATAGATGAGAAGAAGAAAACATAGAAATAACCTGACTTGCCCAAGGTCATAAATTAAAAGATACTAAAGCTTAGACCAGTGTCCTTTCCTGTTTTCTATCTAGTGTCCAGTTTCGTGGCTTTAGTGGTTAATGCTTGGTTTAGTAAAGATCATCAACAAAAATTCTTCTCTTTAAATATTATTATAAACACTTAAAACATCTTACATTCCTAAGCCATGTGTTAAAATGTTTAACTTTTCCCTCTCCCTGCTATCTGTTCCTGTGTATGTGTCACAGGAGAGCGTGATGACGATGACAGAGGCTTCCTGAATTTGTTCCATCTTCTGCATGCTCAGGCGAACTTCCATAAGGAGGTGCTGTATTTGACCATGAATGCCTCCTCTTCCTAAGTCAAGAAGCTTGTCACTTAAAGATTGTGTCTCCAGACTAGCGCTTAAGAGAGTGGCACTTTTTCACATCCAAGGGTAGCACCTGTTGGACTTTTGATAATCTAATTACCAGAAACTCCAGCTGCACAGGATTTTAGCTGTAACTGTTTCACTCTGATTAATATAAAATAACAGGCAAACCCAAGAATGTGTTGCTACTTTTCTGGAAAACAAGCTCTGCCTCTTCAGATCTTGGTAAACTCAACATCAAACCAAAGCAGAATGTTAACTGTCCAAGAATCTGCAGCCAGCTCAACCTGTTTGTGTGGCTCTTTGAAGCAAGAGCTAACTCGGCTTTATTAAGAACAGATTCACATTCGTTAACTCGTGCTATCTGTTCACTTTGCATCGGCTGAGCAAATATGGCCCAAATGTTTTGTGAGGATTTGTAATACTGTGTTTTAGAATGTGCATTATGTAAGTCACATTCCTTACCACCTTCTTAGCATATGGTTACAAAATAAATTTTATATTTCATTTATATTTTGTATGAATTAACAGAAAAAAATCCAAAATAAGTATGTGTGGATACATATATATGTATCTTTTTATACATGGAGACACATATACATATATTTCCTGCAAGACAATCACACAAAAGGTCTACAAAGAGAGGAAGGTGTGTGTATGTGAGCTATAGTCTTCAGATAATGGAATCATCTTGTAACTTCCCTGGGGATTAGAGCAGAGAATTGCAAGCAGGAGAAAAACATAATGAAAGTAAATAGCTCTTCTGCTGCCAAAACAATCTTCACAAGTGACTCCCCCTTCTTGGTAAGACATTCCCTTGTCCCAGAAAGTGGGGTTTGATGATGGGAACTGAAAGCACACATGGTTAGAGTAGCCAAAGAGAGAAGATGGGGCAGGGGGAGAGAAAGAGTCCCAAAGAACTCTAGGCCCATTCAGTAGACCTACCACCCACCTTCACCTCCACTTCCTATGAAGGTAGTATAACGCAGGGGGCCTCTGGAGCCCTGGCTTTCTCTTCTTGAAGCCTTCCCTCCAGGCAAATGCAGGGCTTTGTACATGCTAAGCATGCATTTTACCACTGAGCTGGATCCCTAGCCCACTATCACCTTCCCACTGGACTTCTCAGGGGCTGTCCTCTTTTCCTCAGAACACTGGGAGATAAGGAAATTACCTTCGGTGGCAGGGTGTAAAGAAAATTCATAGATTTTTAGCAAAAGGGCTCTGAACATTGGATAGGACTGAGGAGTAGTGAAAATTGTGGAGAAATAAGAATTGTGATAACACCTTCAATGTGGAAGGATCAAAATTAATTGCCTTTTTGTTGTCCAATTATAATTCTACTAGTGGGAAGATTTTTTTTTTCCTCCAGAGTTTATTTGAAGATTTAGGGGGGAAACATTCTTGCTTTTATAAACCTTATTCATTTTCTTCAGCCCAGTTGAAGAAATGATCTTCAATTAGCCTGGGCAGCCTATGGTAACAGCAAGTACCAGCATGCAAAGTAACACCTCAGAGCATTGATTTTTTTTTCCTGTGTCTCTGATTTCCCATAGCCACTTTGGAAAAATTACTATTTTTACCTCTCAAAACACTAGTGATTTCAAGTTAACGTTAGCTACCACATCTGGCTCTGAAGATTTTGATAAATAGATAACTTCATTTTATAGAGCTAAGAGTACTACTGCCTGCTCTTACAGAGAACTTGGGTTCAGTCCCCAGCACCCACATAGCAACTTAAAACAATCTGTAACTCCAGTTCCAGGGGATCTCATGCCTTCTTCTGGCCTATGCAGGCATACATATGGTGAATATCTATCCATCCATCCATCCAGACAAAACACCCACACAAATAGAGTAAATATAAATTTTTTTCTAAAAGATAATTTTATTTTCTTAGAGAAATGTGTCATTATGAAGTTTGTTTTAATTCCTTGAATTACATAAGTCTCCACAAAAGTTATTTTTAAAAATTTTATCAAAGAAGCATGTTTTAATGAAAACAATTTATTTTCTGTACTGGAAATTTAACTTAGAGCCTCACACTAGATAAGCATTCTACTACTGAACTGTAATCCTGGATAATTTAAAGTTTCTTTTATTGGAATTTGTGACTCTTTGCACCTTTGTTGGCATAACTCGCTGCTATAAATTCTTTAAAATTCACATAATTTTGTTAATCTTGATTATTATCCTCTCTTGTCCAGAATTTGGATCAGAAAAAAATTTAGCCTAAGACTGCAGTATATATCCTTTTTTCCTTCCTTCCTTGTTTGTTTGTTTTGTTATTTATTTTTCAAGATAGGGTTTCTCAAGACAGGGTTTCTCTGGGTAGCCCTATCTGTTCTGATACTCTGTCTGTAGATCAGGCTTGCCTCGAACTCACAGGGATCAACCTGCCTGAGTGCTGGGATTAAAGCCGAGTGCCACCACTGCCTGGCTTCTTTTTTTCTATCTTTAAATAGTAAATTGACAAGTTTTTCATTTAAATGTTAATAGATAAAATAAATTTGGAAACAAATCTGTGGTTTCCATAATTCAGTGATCCAGTTGATTTTGCTGAGTACATTTGTCATAAAAAATAAAGTGATTTTGAGTTTTAAAGAGGGACATTAACTTGAAGGAAGCATTTATTCAGTGGTTTAAGTAACAGGCAGTCTGATTAACCACAAAAAATGGACCATTTGAAAATGAGTAGACTGAAACACTAGAACTGACTAGCCTAGAACTAACTAGAACAGTCACAAAAACACTTCGAATTTTCCACCAGCCAGACAGTTTCTCCCGTCTGTCTAAACCAGATCAGTCTCCATGATCACCGGAGACCTAGGACCCCAGGATGTCTTTTCCCTTGGCCTCCTTTGGCTTCGGTTTATAGGGTGGGCTTTCCATCTCCATCACTACATTGCTTGTGTTGTTGTTTCTGTACACATAGCATAACATGTTACTACTTACTTTAGAAACTGAAGTTTCTATCTTATAATGACTATCTTAACCATGTGAAGCCATAGATTTCTCTCACACTGTTGTGAATAATGCCTCCTGTCTCCTCAGTCAGTAAGTAGCAGTTCATGAGTTCCAGAGGCAAAGTTCAGCATTGATCATCAGCAACTGCTTATAAGTTCCTTCTCCTAGGCTACTCTGTTTGTACTTGCAGGACTTTATTGTAGGGTAACTGCTCACCTTTGGAGAGCAGAGCCAGCATGAGGTGCCCAGGAGAAGGTGTAATGGCAGAACCATTTTATATCTAAGAAATAAACACTACCCTCTTTGTGGGATTATTGTCAAGGTCAGCATCCTTATGTAAGTAGTACTCAATCACATGATTGCAGATTTGTACATGCCTTTGACAGCCTCTGTGCTTACTGGAAACCTTATTAGCACTCCACTAGCAATGTGCACTGTTATCTCAAAAGCATTGTGTTTTGCTAAACATTTTTGATACCTAATATTGTATTTGTTAAACTTTATTTAATTTCTTATTCATCTTAATAAAATTAAGTTTAAACTGGGAATATTTCGAATATGTTTAGAGTTTGTTATTATTCCAGTCATTAACTTTCTTGAATGTACTTCTCTTTCTTTAAACTGTTAATTTTTTTTTCTCCTTTTTTAGACAGGGTCTTACTATGTAGCTCTGGCTGGCTGGGAACTATGTAGACTAGGCTGGCCTCAAACTCACAGAGATCCACCTCTGCCTCCTGAATACCGAAACTGAAGATTTGTGCCACCATGCCTGGCTAAGCTATCAATTAAGCTCTACAGTGATTTTAAAAACAGAATTGTTAGAACTGGTTGCATGCCTATAATCCCAGCACTTGGGAGTAGGGGCAAGGGCAGAAAGATTGCTGCTAATCTGAAGTGAGGCTGTTGTACATATCAAGTTCCAAGCCAGTCAGAACTGCATACACAGCAAGACTTTGTCTCAAAGCAAAACAAAAGTAAGCACTCAGTTTCCAAACACGGGGATGGGGACTGAAGACAGCACCTTGCACATGCTAGGCAAGCATTTCACCAGTAACCGCAGCCCAGGCCTGCGCCTCTGTTTGTTCCATGCTGAGGATGGAGCTCCAGGCCTGAGGCATGCCAGAGATACACTCTACTACTAAGATACAGCACAGGCCCCAGAGAATTGTCTAAAACAGTGTTGCAGACAGTTCTTATGTATCTATCTTATCCTTAATAGTGTAGCATCCAAAGATTAACTTCATTTACTAGCAACTACTCAAATTGAGTAGTAATCTGTAAGTAGAACAACATTGTACACTGTTCTCTTTAATTCAGAGACCTCTCCAAGCATTATTCCAATTGCTGCTAAAATAAAGATGTTTTGATTATCAGTTTAACACCAGTTCCAAATCCCTAAATAAACAAATATTGTGTGTTACTAGCAACTTCCTGAAACTACAAGATTTCAGTGTCTGTCTCTTCCCTTTTTCCTTCCCTTCAGTTGGGAACGGGGCAGATGCAACCCAGGATATTGCCCAAGATAACTAAGTGATCCTCATGTGTTTTTAGCTGGGCATGGTGGTGCTAGCTTTTAACTCCAGTACTTGGGAAGCAGAAGCAGGTGGATCTCTATGAGTTTGAGGCTAGCCTGGTCTACAAGTTCCAGGCTAGCCAAGGCTACACAGTAAAACCATGTTTTAAAAAAAAAAAAATATTAAGCCAGGTGGTGATGGTGCACACCTTTAATCCCGGCACTCAGGAGGCAGAGGCAGGCAGATCTCTGAGTTCAAGGTCAACCTGGTCTACAGAGTGAGTTCCAGGACAGGCTCTAAAGCTACACAGAGAAACCCTGTCTGGAAAAACCAACTACAAAATTTAGTGTTTTAAGCCGGGCGGTGGTGGCGCACGCCTTTAATCCCAGCACTCGGGAGGCAGAGGCAGGCGGATCTTTGTGAGTTCGAGGCCAGCCTGGTCTCCAAAGCGAGTTCCAGGAAAGGTGCAAAGCTACACAGAGAAACCCTGTCTCGAAAAACCAAAAAAAAAAAAATTTAGTGTTTTAATTGTGCTTCAGAATGCCGATATACATGTAGTTTAAATATGAAATAAAATATTCTCCAGCTAGACACAGTAGTAGTTCATGCCTGTAATCCCAGTACTTGGGAGACTGAGGCAAGAGGATTGCTGCAAGTTCAAGGCCAGCCTAAGGTATGTAATGGATTCCAGGCCAACTGGAATTAAAAAATAAATAAATAAATTATTTTTTCTAACTATTCGAGAGGCAAGAGGATCACTTGAACCCAGAAGCTTGAGACCAACCTGGACAGAGCTTGGATACAGTCTAAAAAAATAAAATAAAATGTTATCTGGACTGTGGTGGCACATATCTTTAGTCCCAGCACTCATGAGGTAGAGGCAGGCAGATATCTGTGAGTTTCAGGACAACCTGGTGAGCTCCAGAACAGCCAGGGTTGCACAGAGACCCTGTCTCAAAAAAACAAAAATAAATAAAATGTTTTGGTTTGGTTTTTGAGACAAGGTCTCACTATGTGGCCTGGGAACTTGCTCTGTAGACCAGGCTGGCCTCAAACTCATAGACCATGCACTTGCCTCTACCTCCCAAGTGTTGGGATTAAGGGTATGTGCCACTATGCTGGGCAAAATAAATTTATCAGAGCTGGAGAGATGGCCCAGCAATTAAAAGCAATGGCTGCTCTTACAGAGGACAGAGTTCAATTCCTAATACCCACTTGTTGACTCACAATTGTCTGTAATTACATTTCTAGGAGATCCGACACTGTCTTCTGGCCTCTGCTCCATGACAGGCACCGTGTGGTACACAGATATACATGCAGGCAAAACACCCATATACATGAGATAATAATAAAAGAAATTTTAAAAGTAAGTTTATCAAAACAATACTAGCACTGAAGAGGTTGAAACAGGAAGATGACGCCAGCCTGGCTATTTAGTGAGACAAGTAATACAACAGAAAGCTACCGTTATTTCTGAGTGTATTACTTCATGGGTGTGTAGGCACAAAGTAACAATTCTCCAAAGTTTCTTTCTTTTCTTTCTTTTTGGTTTTTGGTTTTTGAAACAGAGTTTCTCTGTGTAACAGCCCGTTGGCTGTCCTGTAACTTGCTTTGTAGACCAGCCTGGCCTTGAACTCTCAGAGACCCCCTTGCCTCTGACTCCCAAGAACTGAGATTTCACCATGCCTGGCCAAAGCTTATTTCTTTTTTTTTTTTTTTTTTTTTTTTTTTGGTTTTTCGAGACAGGGTTTCTCTGTGTAGCTTTGCGCCTTTCCTGGAACTCACTTGGTAGTCCAGGCTGGCCTCGAACTCACAGAGATCCACCTGGCTCTGCCTCCCGAGTGCTGGGATTAAAGGCGTGCGCCACCACCACCCGTTTATTTCTTAAAACTATGGAGCCAGCTGATGAGATAGTGCAGCAGTAAAGGTGCCTGTCTGCCATACCTGAAGGCCTGTTTGATCCTGTGGACGCACATGGTATAAGGAGAGAACAGGCTCCCACATGCAGGCTGTGGTACCCATGTACACACACACACACACAGAATGTTTTTTTTTTTAATTATGATGTTTTATTTTATAAAAAAGCATTTTTAAAAAGGTTAGTCTAAGGCCAGGTGGTGGTGGTGCACGCCTTTAATCCTAGCACTCGTAAGCCAGAGGCAGGAACATCTCTGTGAGTTGGAAGCCAGCTTGGTCTACAGAGTGAGATCCAGATCAGGCACCAAAACTACACAGAGAAACCCTGTCTCGAAGGAAAAAAAAAAAAAAGGCTAGTCTGGGGCTGGAGAGATGGTCCCATGGTTAAGGGCATCTACTGCTCTTGCAGAGGACCCAGATTCAGTCAGTTCCCAGCACCTACATGGTGGCTTACAACCATCTGTACTCCAATTCCAGGGTGTCTGACGCCCTCTTCTGACCTCCCTGGCTCCTGCAGGAACATGGTGCACAGACATAAACTCAGGTGTGCAACACATACATACAAAATAAAATAAAGAAAAAGTACAGGGTAATCTTTCTGTTTTTATGTTGTGCCCATGTCTAGCGGCTTATGGACCTGACGTACAACTGAGATCAGCCTCTGCCCTCTCACTGAATTACTGACAAGGTGTTTCAATTCTATATGGGTACAGACTGAAGAACTTGCTTCATAAAACTTCAGAGTGAGCCTGATTAGAGACTACACCATAGAGATTGAACCACCATAATTAACTCTGTACTTTGGATTCCTTTCAGTGTTGATACTTGCTTAGCTAAGGGTACAGAACTGCTGTCTTGGTAGAAAATTGTAGTTTGGGCCAAGCATGGTGGTTCAGGCCTGTAATCCCAGCTCTTGGGAAGCGGAGGCTGCTAGGACTTCAAGTGTGAAGCCAGCCTGGGCTACATGAGAAGACACCCCCCCCCCACAAGCCCCTATCTCAAGAAAAAAAAAAAACAGAGAAGGAAGGAGAAGGGAGGAAGGGAGGAAGGGAGGAAGGAATTGGAGTTTGAAATGGTCAGATTGTACTGAAGTCAGAGAAATACTTGAGAGTGTAATGTGCCCCTGAAGATCACTCCTAATATATCAGTGTTCGAGGCCATGCTTTTTACATTAGTGAATTACTTAGGTCCACATTGTCACATAGCATTTTATTTGTTAATGTGCTAACACTACAGGCAAATTAGCCCAAATAATATTTGCAGTAAATAAACACATTTTCTCCTCAAATTTATCTTGCAGTTGAATTTTCATTATTAGGTATTGTGTTAAGGTGGGCACACACCTTTTAATTTCAGCACCCAGGAGGCTGAGGCAGGAGGACTGAGTTTGAGACCAGCCTGGGCTCCATAGCAAGACCCTGCCTGGAACAAAGCCATTTGGGAAAGGATGAGAGAGTGTGGTAAATTACTAAAATTGTCTAGGGATTCTGCTCTTAGAGATATCATTTCCAAAGATTAGACAAGAGTTTTAGATATGTTTTTTGTTTTTCAAGACAGGGTTTCTCTGTTTAACAGCCCTGGCTGTCCTGGAACTTGCTTTGTAGACCAGGCTAGCCTCGAACTCACAGAAATCCGTCTGCCTCTGCTTCCCAAGTGCTAGGATTTAAGACACGGTTTCTCTGTGTAACATTGGCTGTCCTGGAACTAACTCTGTGGACCAGGCTGGCTTCAACTCAGAGGTCTGCCCACCTTTGCCTCCCGAGCGCTGGGACCAGAGCCATATGGCACCTCCTCTGATTGTGAGTCTTGAAATTTTAACATGGGAAGGGATAGGACATCTTTTCCAGTCTAGGAACAAACTAAAGCCCTAAAGTTTAAATGTCGTACAGAAGGGCATTTATTCTGTTACCAAGACAACAGCATTTCTTGTCTGCATTTTTGCCATTATTATTTGTAAGATGTGAGGGTCTTGGGCTGGAGTTAGTGGAGTGGTAGAGTGCTTGACTGGAATGGATGAGGCCCTGGGTTCAAAACCGAGCACTGCAAAAATAAAGAGTTTGAAGAGGTGAGGTCTTCCTTAGCTGCCCAAGTAGTCCTCCTTCCTTACCTCGGGGACTACAGGTTCACCACCACGTGCAGGCTTGTCCAGGAAGCCATTTAAGATGCAAATTTGTGACATACATTACACAAACTTCAATATCTCTCTCCCTCCCTCAATTTATTTTTTTATATTGAGACAGGGTTTCTCTGTGTAACAGCTCTAGCTGTCCTGGAACTCACTCTGTAGACCAGGCTGGCCTTGAACTCACAGAGATCCGCCTGCTTCTGCCTCCCAAGTGCTGGGATTAAGGGTGTGCACCACCACCGCCCGGCTATTTTTAAATTTTTTTTTTTTTTTAAAGATTTATATATTTATTATGTATACAGTGTTCTGCCTGCATGTCTGCCTGCAGACCAGAAGAGGGCACCAGATCTCATTACAGATGGTTGTGAGCCACCATGTGGTTGCTGGGAATTGAACTCAGGACCTCTGGAAGAACAGCCAGTGCTCTTAACCTCTGAGCCATCCCTCCAGCCCCTATTTTTAAATTTTATGTACATTGGTGTTTTGCCTGCATGTATGTCTGTATGAGGGTGTCAGATCTTAGAGTTACAGACAGTTGTGAGCTACCATGTGGTTGCTGGGAATTGAACCCCCATTCCTCTGAAAGGGCATCCAGTGCTCTTAACCAAAGAGCCATCTCTCCAGCTGTGAGTCTGAGGCCAGCCTGGTCTACAGAGCTAGTTCTAGGACATCCAGAGCTATACATAGGAAACCCTGTCTCAAGAACCCAAATAAATAAATACAGCAATTGAACAAAATAGCATTACAAAAAACTATTAATTCCTTCTTTTTCCTTGTTTATTTTTAAGCTAGAAAAGAAAATCAGTGTAGAACAGTTATGATGGTGTCTCTCTCCAAGGGAATAATAGACACCCCAGATTCAGGCCAAATCTACTCTGTATCCTAAAACATGTTTGTTTGTTTGTTTGTTTGTTTGTTTGTTTGTTTGTTTGTTCCCAACCCTAACTGGTCAAGGAAATATGAAAACAGTTTTGTTTTGTTTTGTTTAAAACAAAAGGAACATTTAACAATCAAAAAATGTTTTAAAATCCCCCCTTAGGGGTAAACTTTATTTTCCTAAATTAATATAGACATTTTGTTTCAATGCTTTATAGGTAGGCACAAGAATAAGAACTTCACAACCATATCTCTCATCAAATAAGAAGCTGGGGACAAATGGGATAAGGAGGGAGGAAATGATAAATCTTTAAGAATGCAAATGGAGGGGGTTTTGTGGGGAGGCTGCAGATCAAGGGAGTCCGCACAACTCAGACTGTACGGTCTATAAAGACACTGAAGAGACAGACAGACAAGCTGAATTTGCCCTGGAGTTCACAAGGGTACGCCTGCTCGTGAAACAGAAAGGAAAGAAAATGTTGGCATCGTGTGCAGTTGCATTTAGACCTAGGGAAAGGCTGCCCGTGTGAACGTTTGAGCAGTTCTCCACTGTGACTTTACTGATTCTACATTTCAACCTTCCACATTTTCAATACACCCTGTCTACAGCTTAAACACATGCAGCAGCTGCCAGTGGCATCCTTGAACTCCTGATGTCCCCAGGAGTGCCTCTGCCTCACAGAGCCCCTGCTTGCCAAGGGTTAGCCACATCCGGACACACTGGAAGAAGTCAGTTGGGCCTCCGGACTCCTGCTCTTGGGCAGAGTCCTCTTGCTGGACGGGACAACACCGGAGCTGTGGGAAACCCAGAAACAAAGTGCTCAGCTGGGAACTGCAGACAGGTACCTCTACTGGTCAGGAACTATGAAGAGATCTGAGAGGCCTCCCCACTCCTCCATGCCAAATTCCAGAGCAGGGAAAAGTGGGCACCTCCCCCAGACCTTACCCCAAGTAAACTTCATTTGCTATTTTTCTCAAGTGGGAATGAGTCACTAGTGAGTTAATGGATGCAGTTGTGCCAGCAGTAGTGAATTAATGAATGCAGTTATGCTAGCAGTTTTGGAAACCACCCTGCCCCATACATAAGGATGTACTGTAGTCATCGCCAGTAGAAAACATACAACTTGGTTTTGCATCTACCTGGAAAAAGAAATTAGGATATGAAAGTCCCTCGCCACCACCTACATTCCTCCCCTCCCCTCCTACCTAAAGCCCAGTGCATTGTGAAGTTTATTTTTAAGAAATCACATTTTAAATTGGTTCCCAAAGAGACCTTGCCTTTCTTGTTCTTTTCAGATTGATCCAAGAAATGCTACGTCAATGTGTCTGAGAAATAGATACAAAAACAAGCTCTCTTTTCATTTTGTTTTTGAATCAATACCCGAATAATGACCCGAAGCAAAAATCCACCGGTGCGTCAGCAAGCAGGATGCTCGGCGCTTCAGCTCCATCCTTCCCTCGCAGCCCCTGCAGCTCCAGGCCACTAGAGCAGATAGATAATGTAGGACAGAACCACCAGGCCTATGATGGCAAAGAACATGAGGATGAAAATATCCAGCATGGCGCAATACTAAGCAGGGGAGTCGCCTGGGTTCCGGGGAAATGGGAGCTGCAAGCGTGGAGGTCGGTCAGTGCAGAGAAATGGCTCCTATTCCCTCCCGCTTCCTGTTCCCTCCCCCTCCGGGGGACCTGAGGCTAAGGGATGCTGCAACTCCATCAGCAGCTTACTCTCCACCTCCATCATCAGTCAGCCAATCACAGAGCCCACGGTGAGTAACCAGGGAACAGCTACTTTTAGACCAGGCAAAACCAGAGAGATTCAATTTCTTCCCAGGAAGCCAGCCCCGCCCCTTTGTGTGGACCGCTCTCTGTATTTAGATACAGTCTCTGCACTGAGTGGGCTGCCCCGGGAGGTGTGAGTGGAGGATCTCTACCGACCCTTCAGGAACGGATTCTCCTGCCGGCCCTCTTCCTTCTTCCTCTCACACCTCTGGCAATTTATCTCAGAAAACTAATTGTTACCAGTTGTGTGGGTCATCGGCTAGTTCAAAGGGGAACACGGAAGAAGGTCTCATGTGGTCTCAGGGGCATCGCTGGCATGGACGCAAGTTTTACGCTGTGCCAGGGATTGCGCACGGGGTAATTTCAACCGGTCTGAAGTCTGCTATAGCCTGGACTCTGAGGGTGGTCAGGAGCCTGCCTTACAATATTTCACAGCTTGTCAACTGGGGGCAGGACTCAAAGCAAGGCTCTCACAGTGCTAAACCCATATCCTTTCTTTTGTTTTTTCAAGACAGGGGTTTCTCTGTGTAGCAGTCCTTGGCTGTCCTGGAACTCGATTTGTGGATCCTCCTGAGTGCTGGAATTTTAATTAGCGGCACGCACCACAACTGCCTGGCCTAATTCCATGTTCTTTTTGAGTCCACCTCACACTGGCTTGCCTTGTTGGTCTGGGAGACAGGAGGTCTCTCCTCCACCCTTTCTGTTCTGTCCTTACCCATACTGGCTTTGTCTCCTCGGAGAGTTTAGCCCAGTGTCATCCTCAGAGAAGACTGAGGAACCTACACACCCACTCCTGGGTAGACAGTGTCTAGAAATGCAAATTTAAGTGGGTTTTTTTTCCCCCTTTTTGTTGTTTTTTATTGTTTCGTTTTGAGAGTCACATGTAGCCCAGGCTGGCCTTGATTGGAGTCCCCTGCCTCCACCTCTCGACCTCCAGTCAGCTTCCAAGTGGTTTCTTCTAAGGGAGCAAAGATGGATGTCTTATTAAAAGTCAGTGATCTGAGGCCCAACAGCAGGACTGAGAGAGTAAAAGTGCCTTGCACAAAACCTGACGACCTGAGTTCAAGCCCTGGGCCCTACCTACATGGTGGACAGACAGAACTGACTCCCGTAAATTGTCCTGGGGTGTCACACGTGCCCTGTGGTGTAAACACATACATACTTGCACAAGCACGCACAATAAATAAAAAATAACGTTTAAAAGCCCATGCTTCAGCCGGGCGGCGGTGGTGGCGCACGCCTTTAATCCCAGCACTCGGGAGGCAGAGCCAGGCGGATCTCTGTGAGTTCGAGGCCAGCCTGGGCTACCAAGTGAGTTCCAGGAGAGGCGCAAAGCTACACAGAGAAACCCTGTCTCGAAAAACCAAAAAAAAAAAAAAAAAAAAGCCCATGCTTCCTCAGTGAGCTATTTTGTTGACTTCTGCTGTGTGTGTGTGTGTGTGTGCACCAACTATTTATTATTGAAAGGAAGAAAAATCCTGTAGGCCAAGTCTGAGGTCTAGCATCCTTAGCCTCACCCCAAATAATTTATTTGAAGGGCCCAAGCCTTTAGATATGAGTAACCCCCTTCTAACACGAGGCCTCAGGAACTTAGGCCACTCCCAGAAGAGGAGCCTTCCTTGAGCAGGCAGTCCAGCAGGTGACAAGTGACAGTTCTAGGAAGACATATCAACACCAGCTGAGCAGGCTCTTCTGATGCTTTTGCGCACTATAAGGTGCCAGCCAGCTCCTTCGGGGATACTGCTGGACCTGCCTTTGTGGGAACTCCCCACACCTGGAGCACTCCCCACACCCGTGTTCTGCAGGGTTCAGCATGCCATTCTGATTACATTTCACACTTTGCCTCTCACTTGCTGCTCCCCTGGGGCCAGAGAACACTTCCTGTGTAGCCCCAATGGTAAAATGCCCCCTCCACCAAGTCTCCAGGCAGGTAGCTGATGACCAGGAGCCAGGGTCCAGGGTCCAGGAGTTGCCTTTTGCCTACCACAGGTCCCTTCCCAGGCCCACTGAACAGAGGCTGGCTGCAGTACCTGCAATCAGGCTGGCTGGGGACAAGCCATCACAGGGCTGGGAGGAGCTAAGACAGGAAAGTGGGAAGTCTGCCTTGTGTTGCCTGCCAGGCCCCGCTATGGTGGGTTTATCCCGGCTCTGCGGCTCTGCGGCTGTCCTAATTGTTATCGGTTTACAACTCAAACATGGCAGTGGTACACACTGGACTAGAGCAAGCTTGGGCTGAGCTCACTGGCTGGCTTGAACATTTGGAGAGCAGCCTGCCCATAGCCAAAGACAGGGACCTTCTTTTTTTTGGGGGGGGGGGGGTTGGGGACAGGGTTTCTCTGTGTAGCCCTGGCTCTCCTGGAACTCACTCTGTAGCTCAGGCTGGCCTTGAACTCACAGAGATCCACCTGCCTCTGCCTCCCAAGTGCTGGGATTAAAGGGTGTGCCACCACGCCCTGTCCAGACCAAGAACTTGAATGAGACCCATGACAGTCCCCTAGGAGGGAGGAAGATGCTTAATGGAAGAGGGGGGACAGCATGGGGAGCCTCAGAATTCAGGGACTGCCAGCCTTGCATGGAACAGAAGCCCAGGCTGGGCAGAAGTGTCACTTTGGACGCCACTGGAGAACTGAGGTATGTCCTCAAGGAAGAAGCAGGCATGATGAAGAGCCAGCTACCCTTTGGTTTCTGGGTCAGTCCTCTCTTTGGGGGGGTAACTGAGCTCACTGTCAATGCCCGCTGGCAGACAGGACACACACAGAAGTTACTTCAGAGCCAAAGAGGAAGCCCAGTCCGCAGGTAAAAATTAGACTTTTATTTGCGTCACCAGGATAAAGATTCACTTTGTGGTTCAAGTCAATGTTCAGATTCATAACAGGCCAGAAAGAACTGATCCCGAGCTCGAGGCCAGGAGGGAGGGGACCAAACAGATCAAAGAAAGTTGACAACCCCATATAAAAGATGAGTGGGCGGCTTCACACACACACACACACACACACACACACACACACACACACACACACACACACACACACACACACACACACCACAGATGAAATGTCGGACAGAGGCGAATTTCACAGGGCCACTTCTGTTTCCTTTTAAATACAGGCTTTGTGGGGTGGTACTTTTTGTCTTGTGTCCAGCTATTAACAAATAAAAATGTTCCCTGGAGGGACACGAGGGCTGCAAACAGGAAGCAGTCTGGGGAGAATTCATGTCCCTCACCACGGGGCTTCTTGCATTGCAGGATTGGCCCACGAAAGTTAAGTTCACAGTCTAGCCAAGGTGCTTTTTTTCCTGGGTTTTGATTGGCTGAAAGACCTTTATGAAGGAAGAGATCATGGGCTTGGGGATCCTGTGCTCTTCTAGGAGTGGATGCTTCTAGAAAAAGAATATGGACTCCAGCTGGGGCCCTCAGCACCAAGGGATAGTTCCTCTTGCCTCTGCAGGTGTGTGAAGGCCTCCCCCATTTCTAGGGCAGTAGAGGAGCAGCTGGCTAGACATGTTGGGAAGGGAGGTTCAGCTGACTGCAATCAGGCTGCGGCACCTCCCAAGCACAGGCCCTCCAAGAGCAAGAGTCCCTGACCTCTGGTCCCCAGAACCGCATTGTGCTTTGAGATGAAGAGGAAATGGAATGGACTGGTGCCTCCCCAGGGGCTCCTAAAACGTTTCCACAAAGTTCTCCCCATACTGCTCCTACTTGCCATGGCCCAGGTCAGGGTCGGAGGGGACTGACCAAGCAGGAGGGTGGTTACTCGCTAATCCAGCAAGGCTGGTTGTCTGGACTACTGATCGCATCGCTGGTCTGACCAGTGCCTTCAGGTTCAAGCCTCACCTGCAGTAGGGTCTGTGTGCAAAGGGGCCTGATACAAGACTCAGAGTCAAGACGAGAGTCAGGGGACCCGGGAGAGCTGACAAGAAAACCCAGAGATGAATGGAGCCACGGGAGGGCTGTCCCAGGCCCCAGGTGCAAAGGAGGAACCTGAGTTTAGCACCAGCCCAGAGATGGTGCCGCCAGCTTTGGCGTCCCGGACTCGCTCCCTTGTTTCAAGGACAGGAGAGCCTTGAGGGAGGTGCCACAGTGGGGGTGACTTGGTCCTCAGACACAAGGATAGGAAAGCCTTCTCCCACCTCCCCAGTGAGTGAGCAAAAGGTTGAGGCTTCCTGTGTGTCCAGGAGACTGTTCACAGAGCTCCAAGCCCCATCCAGCCTTGTTCCAGGGAGGGAAGGCCATAGGAGACTCAGAGACCTCTTCCCAGGGGAGCAGGAAGGAACAGCTCAGTTAACTCAAGTCCCAAAGGCATCCCTTGCTCTACCCTTCACAGCAGGATCCCAGCCAGGGAGATAAAGAGAGTCCCTGGAGGCTGGGGGCGGGATGGGGGGGGTGGAAGCAAATAGGCCTGGGGAGACCACCCTGTTCCCTCCTTCCTGCTGCTGCCGCCCTTAGAACTAAGGCAAGAACTTGACCCAAGCTGTGCTTCCCGAGGAGCTCTGTGGCCACCCCAGGTTTGCGTGGGCAGGACGGCACACTCAGTGTGTGAAGGAACACACACAGGGTCAGGAGGGCGGACTAGCGGAAAGGTAAACTCATCACATTGGTCCCAACATAACTGAGGCATCGGTACCCCTCCCACTCCCCCCAGGAATGCGTGGAACCCCACCTGGAGGTATGAGGAGTATGGGGGCTCACCCCAGCCCTAGGATATAGGGTGTCAGAGGAGCTAGGCCAGGGGTTCTGAAGGGCCTAAGGCAGGAAGTGAAGCTGGGAGCTAACAATCCTCCCCTCCCCCAGACAGGGTCTCACCACATAGCTCTCTCTGGCTGTCCTGGAACTCATGATGTAGACCAGGCTGGCCTTGAATTCAGAGAACTATTTTGTTTGTCTCTGCGAGTGCTGGGATTAAAGGTGTGTGCCACCATGCCTGGACTATCTGATCTCTTTAATGGGTCTCCCATTTCAGCCCAGCCCTGTGAGCCCACCCTCCCCAGAGTGCCCAGCCTGTTCCATCCAGAGAGAAAAATCAATCAGTCGGTTGGTCCAAGGGAAAACCTGCCAGACGAAGGAGCCCGAGACAGTGGCAGAACAAGGCCTGGGTTGGCAAAAGAAGCTGGAGGAGGGGGCGGGGATAAAGAAGCAGCGGCGGATCTTAAAAGACAGAGACACTGAAGGGTGGATGGGTCAGGCCCCAGGACAGGTGTGATGCCATGGAATGCATTGAAGACGGAGGGTGGGGCAGCACAGGGCTCAGATGGCCTCCACATAGTTGGCAGGCAGCATCCCTGTGTCACCGGTGCGCTCCACGGTCCCATACATCCAGCCATCATCGATCTGCTGCACGTTGACGATGGTGTCCCCATCCTGGAAGGAGACCTCGTCCTCGTCGGCAGCACTGTAGTCATACACTGCACGGTACCGCTTCTGGGAAGCACAGGCAACAGTCAGCCTGGGTATTAGATGTAGGCTCTCCCATACCCAGACCTTCACTTGGGCCGGGCAAGCGCTCCACCAAGCGACTCTCAGGCCCCATGTTTCTCTCTACCTCTCAGGGACCTCAGGAGAACAATGAACCAGAAGATGGGGCTTAGGGATAGGCCCTGCCATGGAGTTTCCGGTACCTGTTTCCACAGGTCAGCAGGAAAGTCCCATAGACGCAACGCTAAGATAACGGTTTTAAAATGTGATATGACTGGCGGCGGTGGTGGCGCACGCCTTTAATCCCAACACTCGGGAGGCAGAGGCAGGTGGATCTCTGTGAGTTTGAGTCTACAGAGCGAGTTCCAGGACAGCCAAAGCTACACAGAGAAACCTTGTCTCAAAAAACCAAAAATAAAATAAAATGCGATAAGCCATACATATGCATGGTGAAATAGGATTTTTTTTTTTTTTTTTTTTTTTGGTTTTTCGAGACAGGGTTTCTCTGTGTAGCTTTGCGCCTTTCCTGGAACTCACTTGGTAGTCCAGGCTGGCCTCGAACTCACAGAGATCCGCCTGGCTCTGCCTCCCGAGTGCTGGGATTAAAGGCGTGCGCCACCACCGCCCGGCCGAAATAGGATTTTTTTTTTTTTTTTTTTTTTTTTTTTTTTTTTTTTTGGTTTTTCGAGACAGGGTTTCTCTGTGTAGCTTTGCGCCTTTCCTGGTACTCGCTTTGGAGACCAGGCTGGCCTCGAACTCACAGAGATCCGCCTGGCTCTGCCTCCCGAGTGCTGGGATTAAAGGCGGCGCACGCCTTTAATCCGAAATAGGATTTTTAACTCAGCATTCAAGAGACTGAGAGAGGAGGGTCCTGAGTTCAAGGCCAGCCTGGACTAGGTAGTTGTCTTTAAATAAAATCCCTGGTATGCTTGGGTCTTGGGTTTGATTCTCAAC